ATCTTTATTTACAGCAACAACAAAACCCAAGAGAGGTCTCAACCCAACCAGCAGCTGTTTAAAAAAAAAAAAAAAAAAAGTTTTCACCATACGTCCTGAAAAGTACATTTTCAGGAGAAAAACATATTTTCTATGTGAGAATTTTTGAGTCTTAACTGTGCAAAAAAAAAAAATTGTGAGTTACCAGGACACGGATTCTGTGACAATGTATTAATATTGCAATACTTTAAGGTAGCATAGGGATTAACGTTATACAAGGCAAACGCAAAGCGAAGGTGAACATACGGAAAATCTAGCACCAGAGCTGTGGTGAAATGTACCTCCCACCCATGGCGCACACCAAGAAGTAAAAACGAACCAAACTGATTGCACATTAGTGAGAATAATTAGCTCTCTCAACTCACAACTACTTTATGAAGCTGGTTTGTTATAGTTTGTTTGTTATACAAATTGTGTATGCAAAAGATGTTCGGTTGTAACGGATGTGTTCTGTTCATTTCTATTATTACTTTAAATGCTCTCAGGACAGTTAATCACATACACTGTTAGTATACGATTTAAATGCGCCAGTTACGGAGTTTGCATTTATTTTGGACTTGAACATTGGTCATTTAACAGAGCAAAATATAAACGCATCATCGTGGTCTCAACTAAATGTATGTTGGAATCAAATAAAAAAATAAAAAAACAAACAACAAACATTGATGAGATCTTTTCGGTCGTTGCCGAAATCATCATCATTATTGTTTATTAATTAAATCATTCACAGCCAAATTCGTGACACATTCTTCTCTGCTCACAGTACTTATTATATATACACAAGTACAAGGACGTAAAGATCAGACTGCAAAGGACAAAAACCTGTATGAAACTTGATGTTTAGCAAAAACCTAGGGGCAAACGATTGGAGTGAAAGGCCCAAATTTATATCATCACTAATCAAAAAAAAAAAAAAGTATTAAACATAAAATATACATTAAAAAAAATGCTAAGGAAAAATTAAAAAAAGTTTGCAGTACCATACACACTTCTTGGCTTCAAAAATGAGGGGGCTATTTCACATGCTTTCAAAGCATCATTACATTTACAGTAATTAGAAAAGTATCTGGGAACACTGAGTTGATACCACAAAGCAGCCACCATTACTTTCACTCTGAGATAAGAGGCATTAGAGTCAAAGTGCAAGTTCAAACAATATCTATATATATAATAGCTTAATATAAAAGTTCTCTACAAATTTAAAGAGCACTATTTAGAAAACAATAGCTGTAATTTAATTCTGTGTTGGCACTCTCTAAAACCAGTCCTGCCACCTCCTCAAAAGGAACACTGTAATAACAACTTCATCTAGCTGCAGTTGTCATAGTGCCTACAGTAGTTCTCCCCTCCTTAGTGGCCCCAAATACCTATTTTAGTAATTAGAAGTTACACCTCCAAGCCCTTTGGATAGGAGGGCTGGATTGCTACTTCCTGGCTCTCATACCCAGGCAAACGTTGATATTGTGCATGCAATGATTCTCTTGACAGAATGAACAGCAAATCACTGTGGGTGCTGCATATTAGCCTAGGTCCCTAATGGCTCTCTGAGAGGAGCACTGGATTGGACAATAATCCTAGAGGCACCCTTCCAGAATGACATCACACAAGGAGGAGCATTCAACAGCATCGAGGGAGACTTGAGGAGGCCTGGAAATAGGTAGGGACAGTGATACTAAAGTGTTACAAATACAGATTTGTATTCCTTCCGCTATAGTGTCCTTTAAAGATTGTTGCACGTGATAAAGCACATTAAAAATATAGTTTAAATGCAACGTTTCCTATACTTGGTTAAACAAATCCATTATAAAACAAGAACTCTATCCTTATCACACTGAATACCCAAACCGTATATACTCCTTTAATTGACTTAGAAATGCATTTAGTGGTCTGATTAATTCCGGACTGTAATCACATGACTTCAGAAAATACCATAACTTGCCACACTAGCAAAAATGTTCACTTTTGTAAATATAGATTTTAGTGTGTTTAAAATGACGAAAAGGGAAATAACACACATGTTCTAGTTTATTTGCAGAAAATAGCCATTTGTATTTAAAATAAAAGCTTACACGTATTATCACCGCAGTGTGCATCAATTTAAAAAGCATGTTGCTGGGTTTTTTTTTGAAGTCCTCATTGTTTGTCACAGTTCTCACTATAGACCACGCACAATGGCTGACATACGCGCTATTTTGACGTGCCCAGAAATTGTGAGTTATGTCAGGATTCTAGAATTAGAACCAGCTCTTGATTATTTGCATATTTGGTTTGCTGGGTAAGTGGTGTAAAAGATAGCAGCTCCCCTGGAGGAAATGTAAGCCAGGATATGCACTAAAATTATTCCCCACAATGAAAGAGTAATAATTTACGGGTTACCTTAATGCAGGGGGCCCCTAATCTCAAGCAGACTGGAATATGCATGTCATCATGCTACACCTTAAAGCAGAGTCCTCCCCTTAACCTCTGCATTACCCTAACAAACATCACCCTTAAAGTACACTATCACTAACCGGTAATCTCTACACTGCCCTAAATATATCAAATCATATTAAAAAATACTCTGTGTATTATGGGAAAATGTGTCACTTCGATGATATTACATTCCCACTACAGTTCCCCATTATTTTTATGGGTAAAAATTTTTTTTATATATATATATAAAATGGACGTGTATGTAAGCTTTTATTTTAAATATATAGTTTTTAAAAATGCTACCGCAACAGATGTTTTGTCCAGCACCTTTAAGGCGTCCCCTGTAATTAGGTAGAAAGCAGAGCTTTAAGTTATTGGAGCTAGAACCCATGATGTCTTGCACATTTTGACTTTAAAATGCTATTTTAATGCATTTAATCTTTCCATTACAGGAAATGTATGTACATTCATCGTTATCAGCCACTACAGGTACCTAAGGTGCAAGAATACATACAGGCAAGGTTGCACAGTGCTTGCAAATAATTCTTGCACCTTTAACTTCACCAGCTGTAAATGTCCCGTAACGTCCTGCAAGGTTCATGGAACATGGACAATTCTCTCATCGATTCTATGAGAGAGCTGTACAGCAGCCAGGATCATGTGTGACAAAACTTGGGCAGGAGTAGCAACTGTGTGTGTTCCCATTCACTCCACAGCTTCTTAAAGAGAACAGACCACTGAGTTTACATATTCCATAGATCCGGGTTGTGTAGGATTATAGGATACCTGATAATGAACCACAAAAGGACCATTATTGTTTGGATATAGAACATTTTCCAGAAGGCAAAGCCCTTATACATATAGGTACTGTCACTTATAGGCACATTTTAAATTAAAAGAAGGGCCATTCTCTTTGCATTGAAATCTCAATCAGGATTACCAGAGATAACCACTTCCTTGTCCCTTTATATATCACAGGAGAAGATGCAAATACAAAGTATTTGCTTCAAGGAATGGACATCCATCCACGGTGTGTGTGTATCTCCCCAATGCAATATTTGCATTTTAAAAAGGGTTGGGGCATCAAGTCCAACCTACAGTGTTCCTCTAAGTCATGTAAAAATAAGAAGAGGCTGAAGTAATAAAATATACAATAGTGATATTTGCTTCGACTGCGCGCTACACTTTCTGTTTCATTACAAATGACGACAGTCATGTCCCAAGTCTTTATTTGATAATGCATGGATCATTGAAAATAGGAAATATTGGTGATGGCTCCTTCAAATGTTGAATTAAATTTAGTTATTAGCACTTTAGGGCCACTGACATTTAAATAAAGCTCCTTCGTCATAACCTGGGATTTAACCACCCCAATACCCGAGTGGATCATGCAACTAATTTACAATATACAATTCTGTGCAGTCCCCAGATCATGTCAACATAAATTAGTACTGGGCTTTAAAGGACTGAGTGGGGTGGCACTTGTGCAATGAGCTTGCATTCTACGATCACCAGATCACAGCCAATGTCACTGGAAGTTGCTCAAGTCAGGGGCTCGAACATTAGTGATGGACTATTTACGTAGAGACGGTATAACAGTGCAATTAAACAAAGTACAAAGGCTGGCAACTTCAGGCCTACAAATAGCCACAGTGACGGTTTAATACCAACAACCTTATCATAAAGGGACATTATTTTGGACACAAAAACAGAGGGCATTAAATGTCTTTTACATAAAAAGATATTTTGACATGTAACTGACAATTACCAATAAATAACTGTACACCAATGTTCAATAAAATAAAATAAAATTAAGAACATATTTAAGCAAATGGTTGTTTTCTGTGTCCACTAAGAAAACGGTTTTAGTGTTGTAGTGTGAAATAACAAAAGAGAATGTACTGAATTGTGAACTGCAATGAAATAACCACAGATCTAGCAAGACTCAAGTCAAAATAGTCGAGTGGAAATAAAATCTGTAAGTCCGCCTGGTCGCAGATTCACTATATTGGCTCAAAAGTTGCAGATTTGATTTCCAATTCATCACGGTTCATTGGTTTCAAAATAAACCCTACATGTTTGTTTGTTTTTGGCAAGAAATAACCTACACTGTTTCATTTAATTTAAAACTTCCGTGTCTAGTACGGTCTTACAATAAAGGAAACCTATTTGTGTGGATGATCAGTGCAAATCAACAACAAGAGATGCATTAGTGGCAGATGTAACAGTTGGACAATTTACAGCACTTCTAATAGAATGAATATGGCACAAATGAGTGAAAATCTTACAACTGTTCTATTTAAAAAAAAATAAAAAATGATATTAACAAAAATTTCAAGTAAATTTGCCTCTATGCTGAATATGTGCTGGTCCATAGTGCTAGCCTTGGTCGATGAAGAGAACCTCATATTTATTCTTACAGCATAAATTGTGCGATGGTTTAAGGAATATATTAAGCTGCTTGACGCAGGAAACCACAAGCACCTAAATACTTTACCAAAGCAACACTAATGACAACTCCTACAAAAAAAAACGAAGCAAAAATAAAATCAAACAGCGTATGGGTCATCCTCGTCTCTCCCAAAGCTGGATTCCAGGGACCTAGAGGAGCCAGAGCTTGACTTCTGGATGTAGTTTCTGACAAGAACTGGAGGACGTGGTTCCGTCCTAGTGGTAGAACTGTTAGTCCTAGATTGACTTGTTGAAGAGCGAACAGGAGATGAAGTCTTGGCGGTTGTGTAGACTTCTAAATGTCCCGCAGGGTCTATTATCGCATTTATAACTGAGAGGAAAGAAGCACATGGAGGAGGGGGTAGATTTAATTATGTTTTTCATTTTGAAACAAAAAATGCACATTGCAAAAACTGAAAATTTGCAAAACTAACCTTCCAATTTTTTCTGAACCCTGCGTAACTCGTTTAGAATGCAGCTGATTTCCTGATAAGAGAAAAGAAACATATTTGTTAATTTGACCCTACTAAAAAGTCTGTTCATTATAAATATTCATTTATCAAATACTGGTAGTGACTTGTTGACCAAAGTTCTCAAGATAGCGGTCAACCACAATTCACCATAAATAGCTGAATTATATCCAAGTATAAGGCCATAATGTACATAGCCAAAGAAGCAGGTCTAAATAAAGCTAACTTTATTTTTAGCGTATTTGGTTAAAATGTGTTGGTTCGGTTTTAAAATACACTAGAGAGGTGAATGAAACAGGATCTTAAAAGGAATGTATGTTTAGTGTTATATATGCATACATATAACTATGTATACATACACATACTTTATAAATAAAACCGCTTTTGCCACTTCTGGGAGCAGCCGTGGGTTAGGAATATATACATATACATATATATACAGTGTTATATATGCATACATATAACTATGTATACATACACATACTTTATAAATAAAACCGCTTTTGCCACTTCTGGGAGCAGCCGTGGGTTAGGAATATATACATATATATATATATATACAGTGTTATATATGCATACATATAACTATGTATACATACACATACTTTATAAATAAAACAGCTTTTGCCACTTCTGGGAGCAGCCGTGGGTTAGGAATATATACATATCAATATTCCTTTGGACCCTTTAGAGGTTACATTCTCCCTCCCCTCTTTTCTTTTGATCAGACTAAGGGCAACTTATATGCTAGTACCGCAGTTTCTTATTTTACTACTAACTCTCTCTCCTGGCTATCCTCTTAGACATTTAGCCGAGAGACCATTTCCTGGTTTTGTGAGCCGGGCTCTTTCTCTCCTGTGGGCTGACATTTTTTCACTTGAATATCCTAATAGACCGTGGTGCCATTCATTACTTAGCTTGTTGAGGATTTTCTAAATTTTCTTATTAAAGACAGTATACACTTCCTCTATTTAACGGATTAATCGTTAGGTCTTTATACACCCAGGCTTTTAATAGGTGTTGGTCTATACCTTTTCACTACATATTTTTCGGTTTATTTATTATTATTTTGTTCAATAAAGATTTTCTTATTTTATTAATGTGACGTTTAACATTAGGAGGTATATTTTCTTGGGTTGGATTTTCCACCTACTTTTTGTGAGTGGATTTCTCACCCTAACTTTTCTTTAAGAATATATACACAAGTCAGTTTCAGCTTGCTGATCTATGCCAAAAATGTGTGAAATGTAAGCGTAGTGGTGGTGGTGGCTTATCTGGTTTATGTGTGCTAAACCACCACTTCAAACCCACCCAAACACCTTTTCAGATTTTTACGTTATACAAAAGTTCATGCAATATAAATATTTATGTACCTTGTTTGAGGTTTTCAGAATTGGAATTTCGTTTTCAGAGTTTATTTTTGCCTCAATGTCTTCCCAACTTTTCTCTTTATTTTGAAATAAAATTCTGAAATAAAGAACGAATATGAATTACCTTGAATCAAAAAAGTAAGCAAAATGAGAAGGCAAATAACATAAATAAATAAAGTAAGAGAATGGTGGTTTTAAATGCTTAACCTACTTCATCTTTTCAGTTAGGACTTCGGTATTTGTACATATGGTATGCGATAGCTGTGATACGGGATTCAGCATCAGATTGTCAAAAATAACCTAAAAAGTAAAAAATATGTGTCAGTACGCTCTGTCTTTGTCATAAGTCATAACAATGTTTCTGGATCATGATAGGTAAGGATACCTGTATTTTTATACTGAAAAAAAAAAAAAAAAGACAATATATTTAAGTATTCGGACACAATGGGGTTTGAACTCACTAAACTGGGAATTGTGAGGAACAAACAAGTTAATTACAAATTTTAAGTCAAAATTTTAAAAATGGAAAAATATGTTGGAACTTGTCTTTGCAAGCTTATAATTTATTTATCTCAGTTAGACTCTCCATAATTCCCCATTTAGTGGAAATACTTCTCAATGTGTCCAGTGGTCACGTTCGGAGAATTCCATTTTTCAAGCTATACAAATAACTCTTGCAATCTAAGTTCGTACTCAGCATAAAGTTGGGAATGGGAAAAGAAGAAAATGTGAGGGGCTAGAATGGAGAACAAATGGAACCTCAAGAGAGTAACGAAGATGTAGATCATAGAGTGCAGAAATAAGGCCGCATGAGAAACAGTGACAAATATTGGACAAGTGCAAACATTTGAAGCAAATCCACATAAAATTCATGTTCATCCATACAGGAAGAAACCAATTCCCAATCGATTTCATCTGTAGACTCCACAGGTAAAACGATTTGGAATTGAATCGTTTGATGACTACCAGGAACTGTATTTGGACTTAAAATAAATGTTTCCACTTGTGTAACAATTATAAGGACAGAGAGGGATTTAGTTGGGTTAGGGTGCAGTGGCAAGGTCATAGGGGAAAAACAAGCACAAATGGAGGAACGCAAGCAGGAGTTTGGGTGTAGGACATTTTAGAAAGAAAACAGAATGGAGGAAAAAGTCGAGATAAAAACCAGAATGAAGAGCAGCATCAAAACAGATTTAGTTTATCTCTATCTAGTTTGCACGGGATTCTTTTTGCATTTTGCATGGAGCTCATCATTGCAATATGTTTATTTTAGGTTTCTAAACTCTTACACTTTCTCCATCACCTTTGTTAGAAGACAATCCTATGCACGTACAACATTGTGTAAGAACATACCTCCTGACTGTATTCCTAAACGACGATAAAACTAAGTTTATGCCCTACTGTTCATGCTCTTTCTACAAAAGCCACCAGCCTCTTGTGCTTTGTTAAAGAGAATGATAGAGTAGGAACGAGAAGAGACAATGGTAGGAGTTGAATACAATGGTGGAAATTAAATTAGAGGAAGGGTAACAGGATGAAGCAGAAACAAGGGTAGGCAGGAAGCAGACTGGAGGAGAGACAACACACGTAAGGAAAGGAGAGGAAGCACATTCAGGCAGACTGGAGGACAGACAAATTTAGAATGTGCAGAATAAATGCAAAGATAGCCGCTCGGCAGGAGATGGATACACAAAGTAAAATAAAATAAAAAACAAGAAGAGGGAAAGTATAGGACAAATAGAGAGCAGGGTGTGGCGGGATTCAGAACACTATTTATATAAAAAAACAAAACAAAAGATAGAATGAGAAAGAATAAAGACTAAATGGCAAAATGCAACAGGAAAAAGAAAGGGGTGCATTGGAGGAAAGAGTGGGTGGGGTTTCAGTATAAATTTAAAATGGATTTAAACCTGCTACAAGAGCTTTAAACAGAGTACATTCTGCTTATTCGGTCCTCCACCATGGTGGTAAAACCTTCCTTATCATTTACATAAACATCAAATTCTTTTCTATGGTTATTGTAAATGGATGAGAGGTTAGGTAAATCTTTATACCGTGACAGTTCAAACAAGTAATATGTCAAACGGGTTAATCGTTCACATGAAAAAAAGCTTGCATGAAAATAAGCAAACATGTGCATATACAATCCATAAACAGACTCCACTTTACGACATGACAAAAAACAAACACAAAGAGCAGCCCTTCATATAACTCCAATACTATACACATTTATAGCAGACACTGCAATACAGTACTGACAAGAAGTCATATATACAAGTTCATTACACAGAGTTTGGATCATTGTTATTTAACTATCTAAGTAAAAGCTGTGACAAAGAGTGGGTAATGTCATTAACATTTAAAGTACTATTTTTTGTATTTATTTTTTTAAGAAATTGGATTCACTGCAAGGAGAGCCAAGTCCTATTTACAGGTTTTCCCAGTTACATGAGTATATAGACAAAAGTATATAAAATAAATCCATATTTCTTAAAAAAAAAAACTCTGAACGGCATGCATAGTTTATTGTAAAACACAGACTTGCAAGATTTTAATATCTTCAAATATCAACTGGAATGGGGAAAAGGTGGAGAGAAAAAAAACAATATAAAGCTTTGTGAGATATAGGGCCATAAAGGAACAAATAATCACGATTCAACTATTTTGTTGAAGCAAAGAGAATTTTCACACGGAAATACTATACTAAGGTTGTTTAAACCAAGATCAGGTTTGGTTAACACCACTATTGTCTCAGCCATGCAGGTGTCTTGTTGACCACATTTGCTGCCCCAATGTTTGGCTCATTCACATATAGAAGATGGAAGTTTCCGATCCTTCTGCATTCAGTTGGATGTGTTGGCAACTGTACAATTGGTTACTTGACCAAAGTTTTAAAAAGTAGCTTGACTTCTATTTTGGCCATGGACTACGACAATGACCATGCCTGGACTTAACTGGCTCTTGGCCATTGCAAGACTGTTTATGAGGACATCTGCAAATTCTACACCAGTGCAGAACTTCAGTCTGTTTGATAAACCATAGTGATTAATTAAAGCACTCTGCAATAGAGAAGAGCCAAATGAAATAACCCTGTGAAATCTATATTTTAAAACACTCAAAAATAAATCGGTCCTAAAAGTATTTTCCAAGGCCAAGAATCCCAAACAGGCAACACCACCTCAGACAATGTTACCATCTATCTAATATTAAACTAGAATCGTTCTCTGACTTGATACGGTGTTTAGTTTGCAATTGTTCCACGCAGGTCCAACTCTCCATATTCTTGGCTAGGTATTATCAGGTCACCTTAATGGTATTTCCTAACATATATATTTTTATGTAGGGGTGTACAATTCCTCGAAGTCAAGGCATTACCCATTTCTAGCATATTGTACTTTGAAATAATTAAACTGGCGCGCTGAACAGTTATACTTATGGAATTTTTCTATGCATTTTCTTCCTTCATAAAATATATCATCAACAAACAATGTTCATAACTAACACAATCGCCCACATCCCACATGAAACAAACTCACAAATGTAGAGGGGAACTTCGCACAGAGAAGATCAGATCCTCGTTATTGGTGGATCCAAATGCATAAAGACACCAATGGCAGAACGTCTTAGATCCCAAACACTTTATTGTTACTCGCATATATTAATATAAAAATAAAACTTTACAAATTAAAAACTACTCCGATCAGGTTTGATTATTGGAAGAGCTTTTCTCCGCAGCCTTACACCACTTGCAGTTGTTGTCGCCGATGATGTCACTGGTAACGTGCATCGCCCCCACCTTGGAGCTTTCTTAAGTGTAACAATTGTGTGAGAATTCAGACTACATTTCAGCTCTACGCAGCAGGACAGTGGCTCCATTTCCATTTCATGTTCAAACACATTAAAATCTTGATCTTTTAAAGCCTAAAGGTTCCCCGATATGTATAGTACTAAACCAAATTATTCTGTTGTCTAACTTACTGAAAAGAAGGCAGTTTTCAATTATATCCTTGTGTGCATGTCTGCCATCCAAACATAGCCATTGACCATAGACTTCGTTACATGGCTATAAAACTTGTTAATCTTGCTCACTGTAAAATTTGAAGCTAGCATGTTTTGAGTCTTCCGTCACAGTATATTATTTATCCCACCAAAAAAAAAAAAAAAAACACCTCTATTGAGCCATAGAGAGGAACAAAACAAAAATAAGGATACCAACCTCCTCTCTATTTCTAGCTCTTCTCTTTAAAGGATCATCTTCACGGCTATCATTCATGTTTTGGTCAAAATCCTTAAATCCCATTGAACCGGGAGGGACTTTCTGGTAGTTCAGACTTGCTTCTGGGATGTGGTGCACCAACTTAATGAACAGGAAACCAACTTTTAGAAATTAAATGGCAGACATTTTCCAGGTGATTTACAGTGCTTGATTCACGTAAAAAAGAACAAAGAAAAATTCTGAAAAGAGGAAGTATCATCGCACATAAAACGATTGTCTAATTTTCCAACCAACTAAAAAGTGGTGAGTTCTATGACTAGGTTACTTAACTCAGTGTACCAACTGCTCTGATTCAGTTAAGGATTGGACCCAACAACATTAAAGAAGAACTAGTTAGTGGTCTCCAAATGTGAATGTGCATGTTTTTTTTTATTCCACAGTAATTAAATAGGTAATAATATTTTTTTTCAGGCAGCGAGGCAAAATTAACTAGGAATCTAACTGGGTTTCTATCCATACTTCTTTTGGTTTAAAAGAACACTGTAATGTTAAGAAAACAAACCTGGCCGCCAACGTTAGAGTGTCCTTCTCTTTATTTAGATTCATGGCCACCCTTAAATGTAAATAAAAACTGGAATAAAGGATATTAGTTACCTTTTTTTCCAGAGCCAAAATAGAGTCCTTCAGCCACTTGATCGGCTTCTCACAATATCATGCCAACACTTCTAAAGGTCCAATGCTCCTCACAGCTGGTCGTTCATGCACTTTTTGTCCCAATGCTCCTCATAGAGAAGCATTCGAATGAAAAGTGCATGCGTGGCCAGCTGTGTGCTCCTCAAATCAAAAGGTTAGATGTGAGAACAGAGTTTAACTCTGTTCTTACAATAGAAACACCTCTAGTGGCCGTCACAAAGACAACAACTAGAAGCGTATTTAGGTCTGCAGAGTACGCCAAAGGACCAGTGCACCCACACAACTTCATTGAGATGAAGTGGGCCCTGCCTTTGGTGGTTCTTTAAGACACGTGCATTTATTTCTGTTGGATCGGCAAAGAAAAATAAATTAAAGAAATACTAACGATCTAGAATAACAAATAAAATTAATAAATACCACAAGCAAGATTTGGTTTTGGATGTACGTTACATACAGAATCAGAGCAGAGAAACACTGAGGTAAGCAACTCTACAATAAAGATATTTTCATATATAGACATAGCCCCATTTTATTCAGCTGAAGAGTCATACTTCTATAAAAATCTGATATTTCCTCTTTTGGAATTTTTAAGTAGAAAGTGAATACAAGTGACTGGGAATGATTTCCGATGCTTCATAAATTCCAAAGAGACTCAGAATTTTGAGCATTGAGTTTAGAAGAAAAAGATGTTGAAAAGAAAGTTGTATATAGCGACAAGCTGTAGCACACCAAAAAGCAGACGTAACAAAAACATATTGTAGAAAACAGTCCACACAATTTTAAAATAATATAAGAAAAGAAAATGAAAATGCACCTGTGATTGGTATTTTCCTTGTCTTTTTAAAATCTGTGCCAAAAAAAAAAAGAAAAGAAAACAAACACATGCAAAAATGAATGAACAGATGACACGACAGGAGATGAAATTGACTAAATTTATTTTATTCCAACACAAAGACATTTTACAAACGGAACAGCAATTTATGAGATTCACTTTTGTCACTATATGGGCCCTTGGAATTTATCATTATATCCATTTTAATGCATGAGATTTTAAAGGGAATGTTATGGTGGTATCAAACGCAATTAAACAAAAAAACTACTTCTGCTGGTTCAACACCAAGTACTAGCCAGAACAAACGGAGCTGTAGATGTTAATAATGTTACCATATTGAATTAAATATTCCAATTCACTATCTCATAGCTTTGCAGAGCTTACACTGGCTAGCAAAGGAACAATTTCTAACTCTTAAAGGGACACTTGGGACACCTAAAGCCAATCTGAGCTTGCTGAAATGCTTTGTGTTTTAAGAATGTTGTCCTCTTTTTTTTCCTCATTTTACAAAAATGCAGATTTCAATAGAAATTGGCACTTTTATAAATTAACCCCATCACACCCCCATGGCTGTCAATCAGACAACCGGTCCTGTTACGTCCTGGTTTGTTTAGCTCTGCGGAGCTAAACTCAAGATGCAGCAATTGCCCAGAGCACCTGCCTTACAAAGATTTCTCATTGAGCTGCATTGGGAAGTCTCTGATTGGACAGCCACAGAAACTCTGGACGGGGCTAGAAGACTTGCAAAGGCTGTAGACAATAGAACCCCTAACAAAAAAAAAAAAAAATACCTAGCTAAATGCATGCATGTTTTTATTATATCTACGAAACAGTGATTTTTATTGGGCAGTGGAGTGTCCCATTAATGAACGTACTTCCCACTAGTACAGCTCCTCAGCAGCTTACATTAGGGATTACCAATACAACCAGTGAGGTAGGAAAAACAATGAAACATAGTGTTCTCAAAAGGAATTTGCATTTCTTTATTTAATTCTGGCAATTCTCTTTTTGTACTTCGATGATGAATAAACGGACATCCCCCTTGAACATCAACAGAAAATACAGCCCTGCTCTCCCACCCTTGAATGGTTAAAATGAAATGTCTCTGTTAAGCCCAACCTCTGCGTGCCCCTCAGTCACTGTCTGTCACGTATGCTTTGATATATTGTATGATTGCTAATGGAGCAATAGAAACCAACGTGAAGGCGGCAGCGGACTGGAGTGTACTTTTTTTCTGCAATAGTAAAGTGTCATTGTGCCATTCTAGATTTACAGTGACACACAATTTATTAACAAACGTGGTTACGGTGCTAGTACACTGCAATTTCTTCTAAAAACACAAAACAGGGAGTGCAAATTAGCACACACTCCATTAAAAACAGTCTGTGGTTAATTTGTTAGAAGTTATAAATGGCAACATATGAATTACGCTGCCGACCAATGCTGTCTAACAATTCACAAGTGATAACATGTGGCATGTTTAAGGCTGCTATGGACAGCGCACTTTTTAAATTTGGCAATGGCTCTTTAGATGGATCGCAAGACTTGCTTTTAATAGTTCTAAAATTTGTATTCTTTCACTTTAAAAATATGTAAGGTTTTCCTATTTCGGGTCTATTTCCTTGCAATCTGATAGCATTACCCAATTGTGCCAACGCTATAACGCCATCTTTCAAGGCTATAATTAGATGTTATATATAACGCCATTATTTCAAGACTATAATTGTGTATAGCTTTCGCACAAAGATCAATCAAGTCAATGGGGACTCAAGCACTGTATGCATTGACAGACAATGTCCTGTATACATCATCATCTAATGTTCAACCTAAAGTTATCTGACAAAGAACATTAAAGCATCTTAAAGCAAAACAGCGGGTAATAAAAAAACAAACAAACAAAAAAAAAAAAAACACTATTTTCTAAATGTATTTTTATTTATTTTAAACTTTGTGAAACGCAAAACTGACTTAGAGAAAACAATTTATTTTTTTACTCCACTAATCAACAAATTCATGACTGAGCATTCTACATAGTAAATTAACCCAGAGCTTCTTGAAACCAACGAGTTCACTCCATGAAGCTGATTAGATTGCTCACAAGTGACTGCATGCATTGGTTAGTGCACACACACACAGACACACACACACACACATTGAATGTGTACCCCAGAGCATACACCATTCTGAGCCCATGCCAACTGAACGCAAGCCTTTAAGACCGGCCAGGGGGACCCACTTTATAGGAAGGGACTAAGCTCAGAACCAACTTTCAAATATTTAGACAACTGGAGAATAAATCTGCAGTTTAGCTATTGGCTATTTTAACACAATGTTTTTGTGAAGTGCATCTTAAAGTGGATCATTAATCTGGGGAATTATTTAATATTTTTTTCTGCAAAGACACCTACCATATGAAATGAGGCCTCCTTGAGTTGGACAACAGGGTGAGATACACAACTACAACCCTTCCTCTATTGGTGCCACAATCTTCTTTTATGAACTCATATCAGGTGAACTGATTCTAATGTCCACATGTGTGAGAGTCACACAAAGATCCATGGAAAATTCCAGTAGATTGCAGGAACTTCTCCAGATAGTCCAACATGTGGACAGATGCCACAGGCATCAGTTGCACAAAGCACAAGACCGCATCCTTCTCATCAACTCTTGCGATGAAAAGGGCACAATTTGCCTTGTTTTTTTCTAAAACTTCTATGTTTATGAAGAATAAGACCAACCTGCTTTAACTTAATAGAACCCAGAGTTTGATGCACAGACCCAAATATAAGATTACTTTAGCAACCAATGATGTTGTACTTGAAGTTAAATAGCAAAATAAAAGGTGATCATATTGTCCCTATAAAAGCATTGTAGTATCTGTTGGAGTTTATTTGGACTACAAATTAATTTTATGAATGATGATTACTTATTTGTGCCAAATTGTCATAGTTTCAGCATAACAAATTGTTTCATTCACTCCGTCAGCAAATGTGCAGTCAAATTAGATTATCAATATACAAAAAAAAAAAAAAAAAATTATAATATAATGGATGACTTCACAGATGTCAAATTGCCAACAACAACAAATAACTAAACATGATTTGCCTATTTCTGACATGTAAACCTGATTGATGCAGCCCACTGGGGTTTTCAAAACACGTATCTAGCATGTAGCCATGCAATAAAGCGAAAGGGCAGACAAATCTGAGTTCATGCATGCGCCCATGCAAGCAGGATTAATGCTTGTGAATGAATGAAAAAGCATTTAGAGTATTAGTTGGAAAACAGAGAGGAAAGGAATTAGAGAAGGCCAGATTAGGAACTCTTCACAAACTATGGAGGACTTACCTCTTCCCGGGCAAATATGGTTGAAGCTGGAGTGTTTGGTATGGAACTGATAGAAGTGCTTTGTCCCGTCCCGGACGAGCTTTGAGAATCGCCATCCCCTGCTACATCGTGAATCTCTCTAGCTAAACTGGCGACATCTTTCACCAGTGTTTGACTTAATCTACGGCAGACATCAAGCAAGAGGATTAAAAGATTACATTAGATTTAAAGCACACCTGCACATTTTGTGAAAGGTCCATGTTTTACATTTTCTGAACTGTGCTGTGGCATTGCACACTTAGAGCGGTCTCAAGTTATTTCTGAATTATTTCTTATTTTCAAAGCTGTGCTATTCCTTATGAGCTTCAGTAAATGTTAAAGCAGGAGAATAATATAGTGCTGTCAGAACTTACCATTAGTGGACACGCCTGACACTAGTGCAAATATTATGACAAAAACACTGCACCATTAAAAATAAAACTTCTAAAATCTGATAAATATTCTTATCTTCCCACGTACTACTTTTTATTTTGCAAGTATTGCAAAGCTGAAGGCATATAGAAGCACATAAGCCTATTATCACCTCTGAAAGCAGCTCAGAGTTCTGACTGTTCAATGTGAAACTGAACCGTGGACTGTGGCTCTGCCGATAGCAACAAATAGCCCATGCCATATGTAAAGAAATAGAAGCTGAACTTATGGCTGCTATCAGTTTATAAAGCAGTTCCACACATCCAATGATAAAAAATCAAATCAAAGTTGGGTAAGGTGCTGTGTAATCTAGGTGCAGGCAAGCCACTGTAAAAGGTCACTCAACCCTTAATCATACAATATAAAACTAAAACAATACAGGGCGCCAAAATCACCAGATAAATAAATAAAAATAAAAAAGGATATGTATAATGCAGTTTATTGAAAAAACTAAAATAATGAATGCACCAACAATGTGCAAATAATAAAACAAAATATATATAAAAAGCCTTAATAGGCAAATGGACCCATAGGTAAAGCAGCTCAGAATAACAAAAAGTGCAAATGTTAAAGTGCAGACTGTGCAATAAAGTGAGAAAGTGCAACTCTCATCACTCTAAAAGTGATATTCACCAGTAATGTCCACAAACAATCTCATAAGCAACAATTTTGTAAAGCAGAAACTGCTGATACCAAAACTGGAGGGTCCCACTGTGGCTCAACGCGTTTCGTCTCTCGGACTTCGTCAGAAGCTCCTGACGAAGTCCGAGAGGCAGCAGCGTTGGCTGGGGCCTCTGTTTAATATCACTATTTACTAAAAGCCATTTGCTGTAGTGACTATGGTATGCACAGAGAGCGACGGTACACATCTGCCTGCTTGTACGCATTATGCTACATAGTCCATTATTAAACTTTTATATATATTTTGTTTTATTATTTGCACATTGTTGGTGCATTCATTATTTTAGTTTTTTCAATAAACTGCATTATACATATCCTTTTTTATTTTTATTTATTTATCTGGTGATTTTGGCGCCCTGTATTGTTTTAGTTTTATACCACACATCCAATGTGATGAGTGAAACTGCCCCTGGACCTTAAAGGGACACTCCAGGCACCCAGACCACTTCTGCCCATTGGAGTGGTCTGGGTGCCAACTCCCACCACCCTTAACACTGCAAGTGTAAGTATTGCAGTTTTCATAAACTGCAATAATTACATTGCAGGGTTAAGTCCTCCTCTAGTGGCTGTCTATCCTCCTCTAGTGGCTGTCTATCAGACAGCCACTAGAGGGACTTCAGTGTTCTCAGAACACGAAAAGTGTTTTAAGCGAAGCTGGACATCCTTACGCTATGTGAGGACTTCCAGCGTTGCCGAAATCCCCATAGGAAAGCATTGAATAATGATTTCCTATGGGGAGGTCTAATCTCCCCCACCGTCCTCAGCTGAGAAGAGTAGGCGGAGCCTGACCCAGCGCTGAGGGACAGCGGTGCTGGACTCCGGTAAGTTTTAACCCCTTCAGCAACATGGGATGGGGGGGTGGGAGTGAGCACATGTTTTCCTGGCACTGGAGAGTCCCTTTAAACTATTTATCCCTTACCTATTGCTGGGAATTATGGAACAGGAGTTGTTTATTGTTTAGCGAGGGGCACCAAAGGAATACGTAGATGTACTGTATGTATCTTTCTGCATTTCAATTCTTATTTACACATAAAATGTTGAAACGAGTGACAAACTCTAACCAAGAAAACAGAGGATTGTAAATTGGATTGAAAATTGAGTAACACTTAACAAAACAGTGCTGGATGTAAACTGGGTTTTTGTGAAGGCATAAAGAGACAAAGGATCTTAAACGAGTCCTTAAAAACTGAACCCTTGTGTTTGTTAAACCAGGAGAGAATGCATAGACTGGTTTGTCCATGGAATTTCCAAGGATACAAGCCAGTAGAATTGCAAACAAAAATAGAAAGTACTCCAGCATAAGGTTCTTAGCAATGTTTCAACAGGTAACCCCAGTAATCGCTTAGCTATAAGCGTTACGGAATAAGTTGGCACTATATAAATGCCAATAATAACAATAATACATTTGCCAGTCTCATGAAATGGAAATTTCTATGACAACTGTCAAAATTACTATGAAGAAAACCATTACTTTTTAGATCACTTTTATAAATATGATCAAAATAATAATGGAAGTTATGACACTTTTCAGAACACTTTGATAAACATCCCCCATAGTGTTTCTATTAAACTATTACCAATCCTACAAGACTGTCAAAGCAGTGAGTATTGCCGATTGTCGGCCCTGAGGTAGCAGCTAAACTATAGGCGCAGGTGAGTACAGACTGCGAAAGCTTGTGTTCACAAGTATTTGTCCCACCACTGCCAAACAGGGACATGAAATAAGAATTGGGACCTTAATGTGCAATGAGAAGAACCACATTTGTTTTTAATAATCATTGATATAGCTGTAAAAAATAACAGAGTACTCTGCCAGAAAGAATTGGCATTTCACAGATTTATTTAAAAAACATTAGGGTTGAATTTTTTGTTACCAATAGCAAACTCAATGGTACTTATTTTATTGTTATTGGAAGAACTAAGAGTTGAGCTGATTCTTCCTGGAATAGACTCTCAGACACAGAGATGATGCATTAACAGACCGTTCTTGTGAGTATAATTTTATATATTTTACACTGCATTTTTTATAAATTGAGAGCACTATTGTTATATTTTATATATCTTGGAGCTTTGGATATTCAGACCGGACTGACGGACACACCTCTCCACTGTATCCCATAGCGGGGACTGTACCACTTAACGTCCTTCACTCCAGAGCTGGTTTAAGCTATTTTAAATGTGAGTTTACTACCTTCCTTTTATCTATTTTACCCTTGGGTTTTGGCATATTACACTATCAGCTGCTTGTCGTATCTCCCCTTGTCTCTCCACATATATGGATATTTTAACCATCCGGACGGATCAACTCCTGAGGATTGCACCCCTATTTTATCCTTTTATATTAGCGAGATTTTTATATGAATATTTTATCATCCGGACGGATCGACTCCTGAGGATTACACCGTTATTTTAGTGAGACTAACCATTTTATCTGTTGTATAATCATCTAGACCAACTGTTCTGTTTACTATTGTATATTGATAACTTTGGCGCAACCCTCACCTCCTTTTTCTATTAACAGACAGAGTTACCAGATTATCAGGCGATTTACAATCTCATATCTTACCTGGCTATTTCGGCTATTTCAGCAGACTGGGCAATGAAATGGTTGTAAACTTCGTGGTCATCCTCTACTTCGTCTTGACGGCCATTGTGTCTTTGTCGAGGAGGAGCACCATGGGCCCTTGCAGTCTGGGTGGCTGTTGAAGCATGGGAGCGTTTGTGTTTAGGGGTACTGTGATTTGAGCCATACTCCTCTTCTGATGTTGATATATAATCTGAACCCTGAGTTCTCCGTCTTGAAGCTTATAAAATGAATTGGTTTTAGAGAAAGAAAGAGTTAAGGATCAGTGAGATACTAACCACAAGAGAGACTCATTTAGAGGGATTCTGTGCAGTATTTTTATTTGAATTTGTGCAGTTTTTACATTTGTAATAGGTTACAAAAAATGTAAGTTGCAATAAATCTGATAAAACACAGAATGCCTTAAAATGGAATTAATTTGGAGAGGATGATCAGTAACAGAGAAGACCCTGATAACATTTACAGAAATAGACATAAAATAGTATGAAATTAACCAATTATTCCCAAATCATATTTTGTATTTGGGAAATTTTATTAATTTATTGCAGGCACAATGTATTTCTTTTGTGATCTGAGAATATATGTTTAGAATTTATTTATTTTTTAAAACAGCCAACTAAAGAAAAAATAATAAAAAAAAAGTTATATGGATATTTTAAAATATATCATTTTCAGAGGCAGTTTAAGTGTGGAGTTTACAGATTTTCTTTAAAATCTAGCAAAAGAAATACATGCATTTCTGCAAATAATCTTAATCTTGATACATTAGAAAATATTAAAGTTAAAAGGAGAATTGTGTTAAAAGAAATTAAGTAGAACAGAATCAGATTTTTAAAAAGGATTCCAAATTTTGAGAGGTCTGTTTGATTGCTACCAGAAAGACAATGAAAACCAATTCATTAATTGACTTACATGACACACCATCCAGGCTAAACTCAAAACGTTTCCCCATTTCAGCTACAAATAGCAGCATTTTCTTTTGAATTATTTTCATAAGATACTAGACTTTTTTTACACTGTATATTGAATATGCAATGTTTCTGTAGCTTTTTAAAATACATCACAGTACAATTATTACAATCAGACCAATGATATCTACACATTCCTGTCCTGCTTGTTTTTGTTTCTTTTTTTACCTGTATGTATATATGTTTTATTGATGCGATCGGTTGTTGTGTTGCATAAGCCTATGGATGGACAGAGCAGACATTATCTCTGTATCCTCTAGCAACAGACATTTCTCACAGCTCTGCTCTGAGCCCTGGGTGATGCAGAGCTAGGAGAAGTGTAGAACGGTCACTCGACATGTAACAGTAATCAAATAGTGAGTGAGGCAAGGTGTGGAACATGGAATGAGGAAAGCATGGGTGGCACACAGATGGTTAAATGTTATTGAGAGGAGAGACATGGAGCTTATGGATAGAGGCTTAAAGGAACCCTTTAGGGTCAGGAATGAGTGTTTGTGTTCCTGTCCATATAGTGTTAAAACCACCATTTAGGTGGCTTGCCCGCCCCCCCCCCCCTTAACCCACCTAAAAGGTAATAAAACCTACCTTATTTCCAGTGCGTCGCAGGTCCGCCGGGGCTGGCTCCGCTTCCAATCCACCTCCTGGCTGCCATCAGAATTTATGATTTCAGCCAATCCAATGATTTATCACAGGGAAAGCATTGGATTGGCTGAAATCGGCAAGGAGGTGGGACTATGGCAGGACCAAATGCAAGCTTGGCCAATCAGCACCTCCTCATAAAGATGCACTGATTCAATGCATCTCCATGAGGAAGGTTCAGTGTCTGCATCCAGAGGGTGGAAACACTGAATGTCAGTCACAGTGTGCAGTACTGCCCCAGGAAGCACCTCCAGTGGCCATCTGAGGAATGGCCACTAGAGGTGTTCCTAGGGGTCAATGTAAACACTGCCTGTTCTCTGAAAAGACAGTGTTTGCATTAAAATGCCTGAGGGCAATGATTCTGCTCACCAGAGCAAATACATTAAGCTATAGTTGTTCTAGTGACTATAGTGTCCCTTTAATGCAATGGAAAACATAATTAAAGAAGGAATAGATTAAGGATGGGGTATGTATGAGGTGATATAGACGGAATAAGTTTGGGAGTGGGATGAGGGACAGACAGATACAGTAATAAAAATGATCAAGGTGAAGAGACAGACTAATAAAAGAAGAGAATATGAGCTCTATTTATTAATAAATATGAAGAAAAGAGATAAATGATGATGGGCTAAACAATGGCAAACAGATAGAGGTAAACACATCATATTGTGAAAAGGCAGAGAGACTCATGGAATGATATGGTTATTCACTAATGTGAGAATTCATAGTAAATTTCCAAATTTAATTCCAATGTAGCCAAATAAGAAGCAAAGCTGAATTTGAGAATGCTTCCAATTTGGCAAGTTTGACCTTAAATTTGAGATTCACTTTGGGTTCTCAAAGTGGATTTACTAACCTATTGTAAGCAGATACCTCGGCTCTCTTTTCTACTTCATTGTGTGTGAGCTCAGTGACAGAAAATAAATAGATGTTTTCTGATTGTAAGAGAAGGAGGGATGGGGGCTCCTTAGTATGATGGTTTAACAATATCTTTTTAGTCACAAAGACTAAATATAATTTTAACAATTCAGTCTTCAAATAAAGCACCATTTAAACATACTGACTTATGATGACCTATCATCCAGACATGTAGAGATGAAGTGGTTGAATGTAAGCTATAACTTAAATAAATGTATAATAAAAGTGGCTAATAAACGGACTAACCTCATATATACACACACGTCTGACCTATACTTGCTAAGCTTAGCCATTACTAGAGAAATACAATGTACATATAAATAGTATGATCTCTATACCAAGTCACATTTTCAAGACAGAAACACTCACAAAAACTCTCCTATAACATGCACGTTTAGCCATCTGTGAGATAAACTCATGAAATCTATAAAAGGAAGATTAATATGTAGAACAACTCTTTAGAATGTGTCTTTAAAATAAATTAATACATCTATTAGAGCAAGATTAAAGCACAATGCAAACTTACTTGAGCTGGAAGAGTATTTCATACTGCCTGCACGAGCTCTTGTCAAGGGTTGCTTAGGTAAAGGTGCTACAGGTTTCTTCACTGGTTGCTTCACCTCTGCCACAGAAGCTTTACGAGTTGTATAACTGTGGTCAACACTACGTCCTGAAAACCCTGTTCTTGGAGCAGAAACTTCTGAGTCACTTGGGACATTGAATGAGCCTGTCCGTTTCCTTGGCATGGCAAGAATATCAAGGCGGGAGAGCTTTTTAACTTCTGTTGAGCTTTTGGCAGAGGATGAATTTGCAGAAGACGTTTCTGGACTTACAGTTGACCTTTCTGCATCTGCACTCTCATTATCAGAAGCTTCACCAAGGCGAGCACGGCGCAGTTTTGAGGCTCTTGTAGGCCTCGGAGTTGATAAACTGTTGGAGCGTGTCAAAGCTTGCTGAATCTTTTGGGCATTTGAAAGGTTTTTAGTTGTATCCTCCTTAACAGACTGAGCAAGTGGTCGTCTTCTTGCAACTGGTTTTGAAGAGGAATGCTCATAGTCTGATAGAACAGTGTCTCCAGCTGGTATGTATGGAAGACTGGTACATCGTTCTTCATCTGTAAAGTCTAAAGAGCCACGGGCTCCAGTACTACGCTTCATTTCAAACCGCTTATTCATCTCTCTCCTGCCCCCAATTTCCCCAGTACCTGTCCTGCGTTTTTCAGACAGTCGATCTCGAGCTGTAGAGCGACTGTATTGATCCTGTATGGAAGATGTTGAAGAGGACTTTTCCTTCTGAAGGTTTAATACCCTACCTTTCTGTGGATGACTAGGTACATTTTTGTCACTAACCAGACTGACCGTGCTTGCAGTGTCCACGTCGGATTCTCCTGAAGTGTCCTCTGCCAGGTTGGGAACATTTTGTAACTCCTCGATATGTGTCTGAGAAAAAAGCTTTGCTTCTAAGGCAGCCAAAGCTGTTTCTGTTTCTTTAAGAATTAGTCGTGTCTCCTGACTGTAATCGTGAGCTGGTTTTGAAACATTTAAATCTTTAAGCAAAGGATGGGTAGATGATATTTGTGGAAGTTTATTCGGTAAAATGTTGCTGCTGGCCCTCTCTTTGGTAAAACTTTCCTGTCTAACAATTGAAACCGGCTCTCGTGATGATCCATTTTCTTTCTTATTTTGCAAATTCACAACCCGCCGTGTACTTTGTGGCTCTTGGCTGGAGTGAATGTTATTCTTTGATTTCATGTGAATATCATGGTTTTTATATTCTTTGTGTATTTCATTAGGACTTACTCCAGAATTAGCCAGTGGAAGGTTTCCTAATGCACTGTCATTCCCAACATAAAAGCTGGTGGCTTTTTGTTGCTCGCTTAGGATTTTAGGTGCTCTTTGAACAAGTGGTTCTGGACAAACTGTTTCCTCTCTCTTCCAAACATTGCTACAGAGGTTGGTCAGCTGGCTACATTTTCTCTCGGTTATGACACCATCATCAGATTTGCTTGCATCACTAAGACTGTCTGGATCCAACTCCTCTTGAGTGAGCAGAAGACTGTTTTGTGCATTATGAGTTTCTTTAATTTGTCCTTCCATAACACGTCTTTGAGTGACTTCGGTAGAGGACTCTAAACAAACTAAAATAGTTGGTTTGCTAATTTCTGACTTGTCGTTGGGTGGGAGCTGAGGTAGAAGACGTCTCGTTCTTGAAGGTAACGTGGGATCTGTTTCACTTGGATATTCTGTGTGGTCGACCCCTTCTGAAAAATGATCAACCAATTAATTAATGGCGATGATCACCAAGTTGTTGAGTACAACATTAATAAAATGTAAACCACTTACCGTATATACTCGAGTATAAGCAGAGTTTTTCAGCACATTTTTTGTGCTGAAAAACCCCAACTCGGCTTATACTCGAGTCACTGTCTGTATTATGGCAATTTACATTAATTTACATTGCCATAATACAGACTGGGGGCTGGCAGCGAGCGCTTACCTCTCCTGCAGCTCCTGTCAGCTCTCTCCTCCTCCGCGCCGGTCTGTGCAGCACCTCGGTCAGCTCCCAGTGTAAGTCTCGCGAGAGCCGCGGGGTCATAGTGCGGCTCTCGCGAGACCAACAGTGTGAGCTGACAGAAGAGCTGCACGGACCGGTGCGGAGGAGGAGAGAGCTGACAGGAGCTGCAGGAGAGGTAAGTTACAGCTCTGTGAATGGACAAAATTGGGATACAGCTGAATAACTAAAAAACATAAGAATACATAGCACATAGTGAAGTACAGTCACAATAATAAAATATAAACCTCAATGATTGCACTCACAAAATAATGATGAATAGTGCGCCTTTAAGCCCTCAAAGGGCTGCAATAGTATTCACCCTCCACGGATCGGTTGCTCTGTCTTCCAAGAAGTGGGAGTATGCCAATACAGTATAAAAAATCCTTTTATTGTTGAAGGCACTAACAAGCCTATATCAAAAATCAATAATTAAAATATAAAGAGAGTACTGCAAGTCCCTAATTTGATGATGATCTACTTTTGTTATGAATTTGTAATATGAGAATGGTTGTATCAATGGTTGGGATTATTCTAAGATTGTTCTTTTTAGTCTTCTCAGCCACTTGAATGGCTGGTCGTTTGGAACACATAGGTCCGGTCTTGGAACGCAACGTCAGCGTCTGTGACATCTATTGATATCCGTTACCGGAAATGCATATGTGGAACGCAACCGGAAGTTGAGATTTGGAACGCATAACACTAACATATAGACGGACAGATAATCAGCTGTTTTTAGCCGCGAATTTTAAGGTGAAGACCACCTGGAAGAAATTTCCCTTATTGAAGAGGTGTTTCTACGAAGGAATCCTCCAATCAACATATGGACTGGTTATATTTAAGGGACTCTGTTGGGGGTGGGAATTATGCATGCTTTGTATTTTATATACTGTGTATACTGCAAAATTTTCTCTGATGAAGTCCAATTTGTATGGACGAAACGCGTTAGTTTGCAGTACTCTTTATATTTTTATATTTTAATTATTGATTTTTGATATAGGCTTGTTAGTGCCTTCAACAATAAAAGGATTTTTTATACTGTATTGGCATACTCCCACTTCTTGGAAGACAGAGCAACCGATCCGTGGAGGGTGAATACTATTAAAGCCCTTTGAGGGCTTAAAGGCGCACTATTCATCATTATTTTGTGAGTGCAATCATTGAGGTTTATATTTTATTATTGTGACGGTACTTCACTATGTGCTATGTATTCTTATGTTTTTTAGTTATTCAGCTGTATCCCAATTTTGTCCATTCACATATCTGTATTTGAGGTTCGTTTGGGGGAAACCTCTTGGGAAGCTGTATTCATCTTATACTCAGTTAAGTACCTTTGCATATTCCTACCACTGAGTTGGTTAGGTGCACTTGTATTTCTTGTGTATATATTTGTTTTTTCTTTTTTTCTTTTTTTATTCAAGTTACAGCTCTGCCAGCCCCCCTCCTCCCCCCACTGAACTGCCAATGCCACTGTACCACCAGGGAAGGAGAGCCCCCCTCCCTGCCATGTATCAAGCAAGGAGGGGGGACGAAAAATAGATAAATTAATAATATATAAATAAAAATAATAAAAAAAATAATAACGAAAAAATTAAAATAATATTAAGAATATATAAATATAAATAATAATAAAAAAATAATTAAAAAAATAATATAACCAAAAAAATTAAAATAATAACTAATAATATTAATTTATTTATTTATTTTTTTATAAAAATGCCCACCCCCCACCAAGGCTCTGCAACACAAACACACACTGCATCACACACACACACACACACACACACTGCGCACTCATACACACACACTGCGCTCATACACACACACTGCACTCATACACACACACTGCACTCATACACACACACTGCACTCATACACACACACTGCACTCATATACACACTGCACACATCATATACACACACTGTAAATAAATATTCAATTAATATAATTTTTTTAGGATCTAATTTTATTTAGAAATTTACCAGTAGCTGCTGCATTTCCCACCCTAGTCTTATACTCGAGTCAATAAGTTTTCCCAGCTTTTTGGGGTAAAATTAGGGGCCTCGGCTTATATTCGGGTCGGCTTATACTCGAGTATATACGGTAACTTCTGAAAAAGGTGGAAATCCTCAGTTCTTATATTTTAACTACGTCAGTCAGAGGATAGGAGACACTATACTACAGATTTCACTGCTCAGAAAGGTATTCCTAAATCAACAGCTTACACAAACAAGTCATAATGCCTTGGCCAAGGTCTGCCTTGGGACACAATTGATACGTTAAGTGCTTAGCAGCTGAAACAATTTTCAAAAGTTCACCCATACTCATTTCTACTTCCCATTATTCTTCTTAACTCTCCAAAACCCACATCTTCCTCTTTGCAAACAGAAAAGGCAAAGCAATTACTTTAACAGGCTCAGAACAACTCCTCCGTTTTGTAACCTACAACATTCATAATGAAAAATTGTCATTGTCAGGATTACTAGTTGATCCAGCACGCAGTACTGTATCACACCTAGGACTAAAGGTAACGTCTTACTGGGCCTTAGAATAGCCGGACTTAACGTACCAGAGAACAGTCAGAATACTTGCTGAGGTCAGGGACACAAAATGAGACAACGATGAAGGAAAGCCAAAAGTGAGGGAATACATGGAGGTCAAAACGAAGCCAAAGTCAATAACCAGAAATAAATACTTAAGAACACACTCTGTGACAACCACTATGGGAAACCATGACATGGCAATGAGGAAAAAGAAAAAAAGGAGTTTAAATAAGCCTCCTTCGGATCCTATTGGCCGTACCCGGCCTTTGACCCCAGAACGTGCGTGCGTGTCCTCTACGTGACGTCACACGCACACCGATGTCATCAATACCGTGGGCGGACGTGGGGTTACAAAATGGTGTGGATCCGCAGGGGCCGGCATCCACCAACATGCTGCAGGAGTCAGATACATTGCCGCATGGCCGCTGAACGGCACTTCTGCATTTGTCAGGAAGGCAATTACTGCAGATACCGCAAGGTGAGGATGAATATGTTACAGTCATATGTTAAAGGAACACTCCAGTAAACTAAAGCACCTCACTTGTTTTAGGGTTAATTTGCTCATCCCTGTGGTAATATTTGATAAAAGTGTGGATTTCACAAGAGATCAACACTTTTATAAAATATCTTTGTCACAAGCTTTCAGCTTTCAGTCAGCCAAGAGGGTCTTCAGTCTTTTTTTGGGTATTTAATTTTATCATTATTAAGTCATATTACATAAAAACATATTTCCCCTATGGGGTACTCTTCCAGGTACACTAGTCTGTGGGAATATCAGCATGTTAATATATTATTAGTCTAAATACTGAGTACATATTCACATACCTCACAAGTGTCCCTATTTAGGAGGTACAGTACCTATTTTAGATCCAAATTCCCCTGTCCCTCTTTTCAGTCCTAATGTCCCTCTTTAATAGTATTGTGAGATGAAAAAAAGCAATTCACTTTTTTTAATGATTTTCAGGTCAAAATTCCAGAACTGTCCAAGCAGGGTCAGGATAGTAGTACTAGGGAGGCACACATCTGCATCATTTCACTGTGACCTTCCTACCATTTATTAGGACATCGTACAATAACGTCAATATGCTCAGCTTCACCTCTACTGTGATATGTAGTCCCTTGGAATTTTATATAAAGTATAGACAGATGACCAAAACACAATGGTGCGTGATAAACATCCAATGCAGAAATAAATCTAACATTTGTTTACCTTCTTCCCCAGTTAGCCCGTGCTTATGACTGTCTAGTGGAGACGTAGTTGGTGATGCATCTTGGTAACTGTCGGCAAGACTTGCCCATCGAGAAACCCATTTTTGATTTGACTTTGACCCAGTTGACCTTGCCATCTGCAGGAAATTAAAGGAACATGGAAAAGATCAGACATAAAGAAACTTACTATAGATAAGGTAATTTGTTCTTTATACTTTAGTAATATAGAGGTCATGATCAACCTTTACTAGTGAGGAATTTGCACACTGTCACTGGGCACCATGGTGAAAAAAAGGCTGCATTATGCATTATAGAAGGTTGATAATTAGCTTTAAGTGGAGCAGCTATAGTTCCACGCACTATAGATCCACCCCATGGTGTAAACATCCCAGCTATTATAAAATCTACATGCTAAGCAACATGACCACTGCAGCATTTTGTAGTGGCGATGGTGGAAGGCGTTTTTGAGAGCCGTCCACCTGTTTCCTATCAACACTATTGAGCACCTCTGCAGATGTGGTTGTTACTCTACATTGTATTCTAACATAAACACTAAATTATACCGGAGTTTCAGACTGGGGTCCGTTATTCAATTTAGCGGCGTGAGAAGAGAACAAGTCAGCCTTCAAACTTTGCTCGTGTGAAATATCTTCCTTTTCCACCTTAATCACGGGCCTGTACACAGAAGAATTAATCTTGGAATATTCCTCTGGTTCGAACACTCCAAATACCTACATAGAAATAATCGCACAGTTAGATTTTTAGTTATGGTACAGTATATGAATATAATATATGAAACTAGACATTCATCAACCAAGCTCCACCTGTTACCGTCCCAGTTTACAGGTACAGAGCACCCACACCATTACAGTGCATTGCCCAATCTTACAAGACACAAAATACCCCTCATACCTTTCCACTAAACCAACAGTTACTGCAACATACTCCTTGTTATTTCCACGGTCCTTCAATATATTTCCATTTGTATGCAAATCCTAACTGACTGCCACCACAATACTACTGTCTCCTCATTCCCCCAACTACACACCCCCATACCCCAAGCATGTATGTACGGTTTGTGTAACAAGTACCTTTTAGGTTTAGCTCGTTTCCGAAGATAATTTTGAGCCCTGCCATGCACACTATTATTTGAGCATTAAAACAAAATAATGATATACGTTTCAGGTTTACAAACTTATTACACAATCATGGATTGGTGGACTGTTACAGCAGACAGCTGTGACGGAAATAGGGCTTGCTTTATTCATGGCCTATCTATATCTTATTTACAGATGTTACGATGTTTTAAAAAAAAAAAAAAGAGAGAATATTCAAAAGAGTATGATTGTTAACAAGTGGGGTGAGAGCTTGACAATCGAAGTAGAAATCGAACTGCGATTTTAGAAGTTGAGTTTGCTTTATTTTGTGACAGCCTGAACTTGTTGGGCTTTCTTCTTTCTATTTTACTATGTAAGTATACTAAAATTACACTATAGACACCCAGACCACTTCATCTAATTGAAGTGGTATGGATGCACTTACCCTGTCCCCTTAGATCTGCTATGTTAACATTGCAGGGTTAAGACAGCCACTAGAGGCACTTCCTGCTTTTTCACAGAGTTTAACTCCATGAAACGACACTGGACATCGCCACGTTTTGCAGGAGGACGTCCAGCATCTTCTAAATCCCGATTGGAAAGCACTGAGTCAATACCTTCCTATGGGGAAGGCCTAATGCACATGCACCACTCACTGTGCATGCGGTTCCCCCATCGGCTCACATCGGAGGAGGAGCCAGACTCAGAGTCGAGGTCCCTCAGGTAATTGTCTAAAGGGTTATTTAACTCTCTCTTTCATGGCTTGGGGAGAGTGGGGGACCACGGAGTCAGATGGATACAGTTTTGTATTCCTAACTCACTACAGTACTCCTTTAATCCATATACTGATAGACAGAAAGATCTAGGTAATAAGGAATTGGGGAATCTAGTCTGTATATCACATATTTGCAAACGGTTTATGCACAAAGCTATAATGTAAACAATAAGCACAAGTAGCATTCTTCTGTCCCTTAGCCCTATTAGCCTTTGTAAATGTGTATCATTCGAATTCACCAAACAACGCCATTTGCATTTGAGTAGCTACAACTGAGAACATTGGGTCCATAGGTCTTGTAAAACATGTTCAAAGCAAAGATTGTTTTATGCCCTTTTCTCAATATACTGCAATAGAAATACTTTATTAGAACACTTTATTAGAAGTATAAAAGTGTATTTATCGACATTAAAAATATATATCAAGCAAGGGGGGCACACTAAGCACCAAAACAACTTTACAGAATTGAAAAGATTACGGCACTCTGTTTAACTGGAACCGATACAACTGCAGTTATAAACCTGCCCCAAAGTAAGAGTAAAAAAAATAAATAAAAAAATTAAAAACAACACGTTTCATATAGTTCTGTTAGGTTTTAGATCTGTCCGTCTGCATACTTTTATTATTCCACATGTTTTTAATAATTCTTATAAGTCTGATGTATTTCATGTAAAAAAAGGTGCCAGTTCCTGCCAATTGTGTGCCTTTAAGGAGCAAGGATATAATTCGTGTTAAGGTCCAACACCAGCTGGGAGGGTCTGAAGTTTGCACCCCCTGCATGGATTAAGATGTGTATGTATACACAGACAGACGCTAACAATCTGGTTACTACAAAGAACAGATTAAATGTTATCTATATATTTTATCACAAATGCTACCATTTCCTGGGTTGCCAGAGCTAGTTAAAGATAACAACTTTACATATATTTGTTTTTAAGCTACAAAGGAAGAAGAAAAGCAAAATGTATGTTGCGTAGAGTGGCACTGTCACTGTCTGGGGACTTTGCAGACTTCACAAAAACCCCCGACAGTGACAGTCGCTGAGGGTCCTTTGGTGGAGAGGGGGCAGGAAAAGATGAGTTCTACATGCGAGAGTACAACACTGAGGTCTATGGAGGATCCCGTGGCACCGAGGAATCCTCCATTGACAGAGTCAATTCCCTGCAGCCATCACAGACCATGGTTGAGGGGATTAACCCTTCTAGACGGCGGTAGCTCTGCCCAATGTGTGTAGAGGTGTAAGGCAGAAGAAATATACAAAGACAGTATATCTCTTGACTAGGTAAGAATTTCAGCGAAATTCCAACACAGTCAAAATGAGTATTTCATAACGATTCTATCTTAACAGTGACGGTGCCGCTTTAAATACAAAATATGCTTGATATGACTATCTCTACCACACAATAATATAGGAGTGCATTTACCAGAATCCATTACATTTCTTCTAGCATTTATTTATTCATTCACTACCAGCAAGTCTGCCATTTCCTTCTTTCATTCAATCATTCACTACTAGCACACTTACCATTTCCTCGTTCCATTCACTAAAGGCAACCATCATTTCATTCATTCACTACAAGCAACTATGCTATTCATTAATCACCCAGCTGAAAAAGATGCTAACTGTGTTGGATATTAAGATTTGTTTTGCAGAGATTGTTGAGCATCAGTTATTCCCAGTTCCTTACATTATTTGGGAGTAAGAGAATGGGAGGTAATTATACATCCTGCACATCATTAGCAGGATACTTTTTGGCCAGATATAGAACTTGTTAACTTCTCCCTTGCTTCCCATACAACAAGCACGATTAACTCTAAGGGGTGTGAAGGTGAGGAGGTATGGGTACATAAATCAAAATATTAATGTTACGGTTTTACCTGATCTATCATTTTCCTGGCTTCCTCAACTTCTTTATCCTGTGTCTCCGTTTCAATTGTGTATGTCCCAGCATCACTCAAGCTGTCCTCTTCTTCAGTTTTCTTTGTCTTCACTGGATGGGCCTCGGATGGTGGAGATGTAGATGTAGCAAGGACTCCAGAAGTTGTGGTTAATTCTATGTGCAAAGTTTGTGGCTGCGTTAACACGGCTGTTGTCAGTGGCAAACTAGTTGGTTTTTCTACTGGCGGTTGTACAGACTCAATCTGCTCACGAAAATACTCTGCGGAAAAGTCCTGAGCCAGCTTTGATTTCTTCCCAATGCTACCATAGTTTTTTATGGGAGGTTTTGCTGTTGTAGGTGGTGAACAGTTCATGCGATCATCTGTTTTGTCCTTCCTGAAAGAGTTAGACCTTTGTTGAAAGGAAGCATTTGCAACTGCTTTATTAACTGGAGCAGGAGAGGGCACCCCATTAGTGTTCAGTTTTTCAGCCGGTTGAACCACTTTACGCTTGTCTGGTTTCGTTTTAACAGAAGGGTCAGAATCATTAGGAGAAGAATTTCCACTGTGTGTAAAAGACTGAGATCTCTTCTTTCGAGGGGCATCCTCATCGAAAAACTCAATTACAAATGCTTGCTGGCTGTGTAGCAGTTCTTCCGGTTCCCGTTTTATTTGCCTTTGAAGTTTCCCTTGATCCGGTGCGATGGTCTCTATCTCCGTTTTGGCTGCTACTGGATCCTCAGTGTCGCTCTGTGTTCCATCTTCATGTCGATTACCTAAAAACAATAACAACTGTAACAATTGTCTTTGTATGGTTTACGCACCGGTATCTATAGTGTTCTATTATTTATCTATTTTTATTTTCTTCTTACTGGAGTTGACATTTTGAACTAATACGGTTTGGTACTGCCTGCAATTCAATCCAGAGCCAGAACATGTAAGTGTATGTATAATTTTATACTATTTGCACATTCATATTGCAAGTTCGCATGTTATAGTTATATTTCCCCTCGTATGTTTATTTTGTAGTATTTATGCTGCTCTGCAGGCTTGCTGTTAAAAACAGTGAATAATTGTATGTACTGTATATTTATCAACGCTGAACTCATGAAATGGACATTCCGGGTAGAAGATCATCAGGCAAAGATATTTTTCCTTAATATAGTTAATATAGTTACAAAACATGCATTTTAGTCCCAGCAGCCAGCACCCTTGTGACAGAACGTAAAATATACATTCCATTATCCCATCACCATTATGAACATGTAAGAAAGACACACTAGTAGCTTAATTCATAGAAAATAAAGAAAACAGAAGTTTGCCCAGTACCATTTGGAGGGAGCATGTTGGCTTGCAGAGAATGTAGTCCAACCACAGCTCGAGGCCATGGATGGACAGACATGCTCTAATTCAAAGTTGGTTTTACCTTTTAGTGTCCGGTTGTGTATCGGAAGGTCACTCTTTGTGCTGTAAACATCTTCTTCAGGAGCTGGCCTCCTCATTAGACTTGGATCATTCTGAACCAACCAGTCAGCAACTTTACACTCCGCAGACACCATTTCTGAAGGGCCACCATCCTTTCCGTGGGTTCTTCTTTGCCTCATTGAAAATTTAGTTACGTGATCCTTTATCTTTATTTTTCCAGGCCGGCAGTCGTCAAACTCAATGGTAAAAGAGGCGTGACTTTGTACGACAGGCGGTGTGATGGTGTCTGTGTCCTTGGTTGGTATTTCGTGAACCTGAGTCTCTGGGGACTTTGCAGGCTGCTGGAAGTCCTTAGTCGGGATTTCGAAATAGCTTGGTTCTCTTCTGAATGCGTAGACAGATTGATCCTGAGGATCTCTGAACCCCAAGTTGCCATTCATTTCTTCATCATGCTGCTGAAGATCTTTTGGCCGTTCTACAACAAAATATTATTTTGTTTATATGTTGCGTTAAATTTTCAAATGACACAGATGTTTATTATTTCAGAACTTAAAATTAATGTTAACAAAATCAGTTTTACAAAGGAACAGTGTTAGTAAAACAACTTCAATTGGCTCCAGCTGCTGCCTATTGCCTGGCTAAACATTATGAAAGTCAGAGTCTAACGGCGGTGACTAAGGTAGCTTGAGAAAACACTAGGCCGGTTACCACAAACACACCATGTCCAGCACAGTACATAAATCACTGCAGCTTTATTAGTATGAACAATCTTGACATAAAGAATTTCACCACAGGAGGGAGCCAAAGCCCAGCACGGTTGAAACGCAGAGGTCCTTAGTCATAGGAATTTTTATGAGTAAGGACATCTGGGTCTGAAACGAGTTAGGCTTTGGCTCCCCCCCCGTGATGTGCTTCCTCATGCCAAGTTTATACAAACTAATAAAGTTGCAAGTATTTGTATCCTGTGCTGGACATTGTGTTTTTGAGCATCTATAATTTTTTCATGTTAATTGAGTTATTCAGTTTTTTTAGCTTTTTTTTTTTACCAACCCTTGCTTGAATAAAAAAACAAAAAAAACAGCGAAATAAAATATATAAATTAACAAAGCACAAAACCAAAAGAAACTTTCAGGAGTATAAAACATGCATATATACTAAAAACACATTAAAAAAAAAACAATTAAATGAACAGGGTGAAATTATGTGCACACACGTCTGTTTACTGAACGCACAACCCAGCATAGAAACACAAAGGCCTTCACTGTAAGCTGTTAGGGGACAAAGACAATATCACTCCCTGGCAACACTCGACCTACACACCCAAAACACCTTCCTGTTTTTCATTAAAGGGCACTCCAGTTTAAAATATCAGTATGTATATGATATAATATATATAATTTATTTTTTATAATTTTTTTTTTTAGTGGGGGCGCGAGGGGAGATGTGGATGAATTGGATGTGGGCTAAAGTGCCAGAGCTAGTGAAGCTAGTTTATAAACGTTCTGATTTCTTTTGGCAATTTTATCATTCGAATTAGAAACACTTTCATCCTCCTTCCATTAGCTAGCCCCCATTAAGCTAATGGAAGTGGCAGGGTTGTTCTACTTGAGCGTGTCTGCATTCTCCCACATTGTTCCTTCATAGACCTCAGACCAACGTCCTTTCGACCATGAGTGCAGCACTCATGCACAGAGGGCACAGACTCGGAGGCTTCTCAACGAGAAAAAAAAAAAAACTACATGCATAAATAAATGCATGCATGTATCCATTGTGGGTAGATCTACTAAATAGTGAATTTAGATTAAATTTTTTTACTATGGAGTGTTCCTTTTAGATTACTGCTCCCCCACCCATTTCACTTTCTTCATTCACTCCTAGCAGCCGTATCACTTCTTTCACTCGCTCGTAGCAGCTGTATGTGTGTGTATGTATCTGTGAATGTGTGTTATTGTCTGGGAATGTGTAAATGTCTCTAACAACATTTTGTAAGAAGCCCCAAGCTTTCTGATGGGAAAATTAGTGCTATAAAAGGGCTACTTTTAGTATTACAACACCCTGGCTAGATTTCTGTCACTGGCACAATAATCCTAAAACAGGAACACCACTAACACTAACAAAACTCAAAAACAAACAGATCATGAAAAAAGGGCATCACCTGGTGGAATATAAGCAACGTGTTCACCTGAAAAGTGATCTTCCTGGCGTCTGCCTTCATGCATTTCATGCAAATTGTTGGCGTCATCTTCTCCCCACCAGGAAGGCTGCCCATACAAAGGTGTGCGGTAAACTGAGGTCTCTGGGGGCAGTGGAGATGCTGACGAAGTCACTGCAGTATTTTAAACAAACAATATATACTTTTATTCAATTAAAAGATGATGTAAGTTTCTGGAACTTTCCTATAATTGTGCATTTAAAATAAAAAGATTTTAGTTTGAAAACCAAACCAAACTAGATTCATCAAATGCACACACACCAACCTAGAAATTCAGCAATCTAAGCAATGGAAATTTTGAATGCATAAAACAGGAACATATTTCTAGTGGACTGGTTTGATTATTGACATTAAAAAGTAAAACAAAATATACCGGTACTTACAAACAAAAATGATTAGCATTTCTGTTTTTATTTGAGGGGACAACAAGCCTGTGCAAGGTTCGAAAATGCAACTTACGCTGTACCATTAAATGTATTATGTTTGTACAGAGAATCAGAGAAATGTATCTCTTTAACATTGCACATGCAAGTCAAGTTAGTTTTTAAAGATTTACTCCAACTGAAATGTTTATTAAAAACACAGGGTTTTTTTTTTAGTGGCACGAACCCACCAATAATAATAAATCCAAACTTTCCTGCTATCACATGTCAAGGCAAAGTTTTCCCTACAGCCCAATGCTCCCACAGAGCAGAGGTGCCAAAAGCCAGGCTGAGGAGAGGATTTGGCAACTCGGACGAGGGGAAGTGCCACCATTGGTCTTCTCTCATCAGCATACTATGCAAAATTCCAATTAGTTACACTCCCCCACAGCAAACTGCATTATGTCTGCATGTACAGCATTGTTGAAATGATGAACATACAGACTCCAAGCTTCATGACCACTTCAATTCACTGAAATGGTCACGGTTCGTGGAGTAACCCTTTAATCTAGAATCAATGTACTTGGGGATCTATTTCAGCGAAGGAGTCTCGCTGCAAAGCATGTGGCTGCTCCATGATCCGAATTCATTTCTAGAAGAATGTATAGCTCAAATCCTGACAATGTTACATTTTTACGAAAAATAATCGCAAAACGCATCCATTAAAGAAGGACAATGAACAACCCCCCTGTGGGTAGGTTGATAATAGTTAAAATGTATTTGGTAAAATGTGGTGCATACCATTAAGAGAGGCAGCTTTCTTCTCCCCTTTTTCTGGCTTTCCAGAAGAAGGCTCCATATGAGTAGGATGTTCTTTAAGATGGTCCGTTCTTACAGACGCTGAATTCTTCAGACTCATCTGGAGTTGACTTGTATACTTTTCATGCTAAAAAATATACACAGTTTATTGAACCTTATCTGCATTAAAATATTAAATAAAAACACTTTGGAAAGTCTGTACATTCAATAGAACCCTACTTAAAAAAAAAAAAAAAAAAAGATATAACATTATGATAGTTACCAAAATCCCTCTCAACCTGGCATTATTCAGATTTAATGAAATTAAGCAGCGAGTAACTCATTAGCATCCGTTTTCATTCAGTATGGGCATTTTAAAATTAAAATTAAAAAAAAAAGTAAGTGAAATGCAGGATTTAGCTCACACACTGCATATGTACAAAAAGGGAAGCAGACCACAATTCCAAAAGTGAGATGTAGAAGTACTAGGCTACAAGTGAATGGACAACATAAAATATCCTTAGCTCGACTTCACAAAAAAGTTCAAGAAGTAAGAAAAAAATAATCTCTTTAAGGATTCCCATCACTTCTCTGCAAGTTACATTACGGAATAAAACATATACAATTATCCATATTTTAGGTTAACCTTTATTTCATGTGATGCTCTTTTCTTTTAAATACATATTAAATATTTAGCAAATGACACGTTGCTTTTCCTCTCTGTATGCTCTTACTGCAGATATACAGCATTGTGGGTTTGGGCATTTAATTTTATTATTGAGACTTCACAAACACATTACTGCTAAATGTAAGAGACCATTAAATAAACACAAATAACGGGAGGCAACGGTTCTCCTTAAGCAAAATAAAATAGTTTACCTCAAAAACGTTCCACTTTAACCACACTAAATTTCAGTAAATCTCCCCATAAAATACAGTGATCGTCAGGAAGAAATTTCAAAATACTTCCTTATATTGTGCTTAAATTTCATTACAACGGGGAAGACACAGGAAAACAGCAGGATGTGTTTCACGCATTAACAAGACTTGAAAACAAGACTGATGCAATAACAGAATTCACACAAACACACACACACACAAATACACACAATACATACCTTAAGTGCCTCCTCTGGGACTTTGTGCTGAGTCTGTTCTAGAACGTAATGATTAATATGTAAAGCATTTGCTAAGGAAAACATCTTATATTGTAATAAACCTAGAACAGTCTTCAAAATAGAATATATGCACTACAGATTTTGAGTGGAACTGGAATGGAGACTGGACTACATATCATTCAATCACAGGGGTCTGTGAGAGGTAGATTAGACCACAGAGAGTTCCTCATTGATGGCGATTCTTCCTGGTCTTGGAGGGGTGTCCTGGTGCATGTCTGTGGAGTAACAGCACCAGCATATAATTCATATATTTATTGTATATTTTTAAAGCATTTAAACATTTAATTTTTCAAAATGGGGTGGGGGGAGACACTTTTAGTTTAGAGAATTAATTTAAAATATCCTGCAATACACATATCCCACAAACCCCCCTCCCCCCCAGCTACAGCAACCCACAACTAACACTTTACTGTTCGATACACCCAATAATCCTATGTAATTGTGTTTCTATTATCAATTTAAATTCCTTTTACAAAATAGACCTTATTGGCAGAATGCCACTAGGAGGAGTTATCTTAATTATGTGCTACAATACGAGTATACGATTACTTCTCCCTATTAAGGTGAATTGTTCTTTTCCACTCTGTTCTCAATGGCTGGTTCTTGCAGCTTATATGTCTATAAGAGAAGTTGAGGTAAATAATCCTAATGTTCCCTCCAATGGCCATTGGAGTAACTAAATGACCTCCATTGTAAATATACATAGGGATTAAGGAGAGAGCGCAGGTAACTTTTTTCCTCTTTGGTTTTTACTATATATTGGGGCTGATGTATACTGTGGTCATTGCTGCCGCCCAGGAGTGATGGGAGTGAGCGCAGGACTTATCTTTTTGTATTAATAATCCTAATGTGATGGTAATTATTTATTTTTGCTTTTTTTTGCCTCCCATGCCAATAAACTGCTCTATGCAGAGGTGGTATAATTACTGAATTGTACCTCAAATATCTGTAACATAGTAATAGTTGCACAGACTGAACACCAAACTCAGGCTATGTGTAGTTTTAATAAATGCATTTAATTTGTTGCTAAAGAGATTTGTGTTCTGTGATACCACAGGTCTCCAGCAGGAGGACTAGCGTACAAAAAGAAACTGCCTTTGAGAGAATTAGTGGGTTTTTGGGTAACCAATGCAACTGGCTCTACAGAAAACTACTACAGAAAAAAACAAAAGCATTAACCCATTCAAGGTGCTGTGTTGAGGAACAAAAGTAGATTCAGTTACAAATTACCACAAAAAAGTAAAAAGAAATGGACAACCAACCAACCAAAATGTACAACCAACATTTTAATTTCCTGACAATTATATACCCCCTTCTTCCCTCAGTTTTACAATTCTAAGATCCACTAAAAGGACAACCATCATCAAATTTCATTTTTAAAAGGTATATAATATTTGATGAAACTTAAAGGAACACTATAGTGACAGGAATACAGACAGGAATACAGCCTGTTAATATACCTGTAATATAACTATTTAGGCACCGGCCCCCTGCACCCTATGTAAAAGGTGATGTAACAAAATCCCTCATTGCTTGCAGTAGTTATGGTGATTTTTCTCATGGTGGTTATGGTGTGGAGCGTTGTATTCCAACCAAGAACACGCTCCTAGACTCTGGTTACCCTGGGACTATGGCCCCTGGAGTGCATTACCTGCTAAATACTCCATTTCCGCATCTTGGATGTTAAAAACTATGTCGGCCCTTTAACTCTGCTGGGAAAGAATCTGTAATGTTAAAACCGGTGTGACCAACTGCCATTTTCCACTGGCTTTCCATGTGCCAAACTGCCATGTTCCTCTGGCTTATGGAGAAGCCTACGTGCCAGCTGTATCGCTACTAGCTCTCTTAAGAGCGCTCTCCAGCTACCCTGCTACACCTTCTGGAAAGCGAGCCCCAGCTATACCCTCCTGGAGGAGGGAGCCCCGCTCTACCCACTCTACAGGACCTTGAGTTGGAGCTCTGCCGTGGTCTCCAGTACTGGGAAGGAGGACGCCCAGACGGTAGATACCCTACTCCATGGGGATAACCATCACAGGTGAGTTTACTCATCTTTATTCCAGCGCTGCACGGGTCCGCCAATGCTGGCTCAGCCCCGAACCAACGCCAAAATTGACAATATCAGTAAATCCAATGCTTTTCCATAGAAAAGCATAGGGAGGCTATTGCGCATGCGCAGAAAAATGCCTCGCTTGCCAATCAACACCACCTCATAGAGATGCTTTGAATCAATGCATCTCTATGGGGAACGTTCAGCGCCTCCATGCAGAGCGACTCAGAAAGTAACTCTAGTGGCTGTCGGAGTTTCTTCTGAAAAGGCAGTATTTACCTTAAAATGTCTGCTGGGACAACAAGCAGTAGACACCAGAACAACAACATTAAGCTATAGTTGTTCTGGTGACTATAGTGTCCATTTTAGAGGGACAAAGGTTTATAAATAATATCCGGAAGTATTACTTTACTGAGAGGGTAGTGGATGCATGCAATAGCCTTCCAGCTGAAGTGGTAGAGGTTAACACAGTAAAGGAGTTTAAGCATGCATGGAATAGGCATAAAGCTATCCTAACTATAAGATAAGGCTAGGGACTAATGAAAGTATTTAGCAAATTGGGCAGACTAGATGGGCCGAATGGTTCTTATCTACCGTCACATTCTATGTTTCTATTTAATAATTTTTAGAAAAATTCTGTGTATTGATTTTTACTAATTTTTTTTTAGAAAATTGAGCAGCCATGTTGGGCCAGACTCGAGTGGTATCTGACGAACTACTGCTCAACCTAACTTGCTGCCGCTGTGTGAAATTACAGCAGCAGCAAGTTAGTTTGAGCAGCAGTTAGTCAGATAACATAAATAATACACACAGCCTAACATTTTTACTCCTGCATATATCTCAAAGATGGCTGCCCGGAATGGTGGAGTTCTAGGAACAGCTATGATATATAAAAATCAGTGAACACAATAAAAAGTATTGGTTTTAGCAGCAAATACTAAATGAAGTCTCCGAGTGAGATCATCCACACTATAAACCCCATAATTCGTGATTCTCATCCAGCGTTTATGAGAATTACAGTTTAACAAATAGAAGTGATCTACAAGTGATTTAAACCTGTTCTAAATAAAACCATGACATCATCTATAGTGAGGGAAGCGATTAATATTCACTCAGATTTTATAGATCCAAAGATCCCTGCCCATGGGAATTAAATCACACAAAGAACATTGTCAGGTAAAAGAATAAATATTACACCTGGCACGGACCATTTCAACTGACAAATGTAGACGAGAAATGCTAATCTTCTTTACTGTGAATTCGATCTGTCATTACACAATAAACCCGCACAAGGAAACAAAGGCATTCATTCCAAGGGTGTTGTAATCAAACTGAAAACACAGCGACAAAGTAATAAGCTTAAAAAGGATATCGTAGCCAAATCGTATGACATCATTTAGCTTCAGCTTAATATATATCTGGTCCGGAATCCTCTCGTCATTTACAAAGGTCTGTGTTAGAAGACAAAAGAAAAAAAAAAATGATTAATTAAAATTGATAATCAGCACAATGACACAAACCAGATTTGAAACATGTACAGTGTGTCAAAAACCTCTGGAAACACATTCACTATAGCATACAACACCCATAATGCTTAGCTCTGGGAGTTCTAGGCCCCAAAGGGGATTCCTCCCAGAATTACATTGTACTAGTATCAGATTTAACCTCATTCCACAGCTGACAAGTTTTCAATTCAAGGAAAGTAAATTAAATACTTAAAGGAAGAAAATTAAAATATGAAAAAAAAAACTAAAGGGGAGGAGAATTGTTACGTAATCACATGTCTTTTTAAATAACACATTTCACATAGTGTTTATTTATAGCATTTATTTAAAGAAAATATATTCCAACTTTAAACCTCCGAGAGGCAGCTGTTCAAGCAGGCGTAAAAGCCATCAGTAGCCTTGCTCACTAAATGAAAAGCCAGATTAATGGAACTCCAATTCGCAGAATAGCCACTTCATCTCTAGTATAAACTAGTCATTTAATAAGCTTTCAAGCTGTGCATTGTTAAAAGTGTACATTTTTTTATTAATCTTAAGTATAAACCGGTAATGAGATACAAAATAATATATACAGTCAGTGTTATTCTATAGGTCAGTACTTATATTTGCGTCATTTAGAATGATTCTAAGTATTAAAATGAAGCAATATAATATAGTGTAGTATTTAATTATTCCAAAGTGGAAGAGTATAAATCCTGTGTCCTTCCAGTGAGTACAGGTGGCTTTGTCCTTCTGATCTAGCCTGCATGAGAATTCTCTGTTCAACTGGCAATTCACAGTATAGCTGATAACCCAGTTTGTTTCGGAAAAGGTGTACAAAAACTATGGCTTTCCTGAAATTAAATTTTTTGTGATTGTAACATTATTTCCAAATTTCGTTCAGGAACCTGGCGTAAGATGCTAAGAGCATGAGACGCAGTACGCACATGCGTGGGATAGTCTATAAACAAATAACATGATTGCTATAATTAAATCAATGGGATACATTTATATAAAGCATGCACAGTGTACATGTGGCTTTCGAACAAGAAAAACCGAGAAACACTTACTCCATTTAAACTCCCAAGGTCCTTCACGAGATGCTCGTCTTTGTTACTGTCATAGTTGATTACGGCATGCTGTTTATCCACACTGCGGGACTGAGAGAAGGTACAGATCTATAATTCATCAGATAATGTCAACAATCCGAGGAGACATTGGAACTCACCACCAAGTACCATATTGAACCTGCATGCACTCAAGCTGAGTTTCTGTAAAACTAGAGATTAGAGCATTTAAAAATGCACGTTTCTAAATGTGTAATATATTGTATCAGTCAGACTATGGGAAGTCCTTGAGTCAATATTAACGATAACTTGTGTTTTATAATGTTATAGTTCAGGGGCAAAGTTCTAAAAGTGGAGGGATCAGTCGGCATATTTCTTTGGTCTCGTTGATTACCTCTTATAATAAGCCGAATCTCTATACAGCATGGCTGATTTGGTCAGGTAAACCGAAGAGATTTTAAATGATTTGTATGAATTAGAGAATAATTTGAGTGAATGTATGTTTGGCCTTGTGAATGATCATTAACACAAACTGATCAGATATAGTTCAAACAGAAACAACAACTACTATGGTCATAAGCTCAAAGGTTGCGCAAAAGGTTTACACAAGTTTAAGTTGAATTTCCAAGTTTTGTTCAATGGTGTAAATCACAATTAAGTGACAGATTCCCTCTTAGAACAGTCTGTAGATACTTGTATCAAGTGTGTGATACGAGAACAATGAGCTACAATGTCAAACAAACAAGTTTATAGTAAAAAAAAAAAAAAAAAAACATTTAAAAAAAATTGAGAAGCGTGTAAGCACAGGTTAAATTAGTAATTTAGCTGACAATGACGTATCTATAGTGCTTTGTTTATTCACTTCCCCAAAGCAAAACCGCAAGAATAATATTTCATGGATTTATAGCAGCACAAAGCGATGGGTGTATTGTTTGAACGTGACAAAGTCCTCCCAACATGTAAATGCAAAAAGTATGATATGATGGGCTTAAAGAAAAAAAAAGCAGTCCATTCAAATTAATCACCTTAGCACACAATATGACAATGCTGCGTGAACATTTATGTAACTTAAAGCCGCTCTGTCACCCCCCCCCAACCCACCTGTAAAACTTTATTAAAATACTCACATCGACTGGGATGGAATTTCTCTGAAATTCAAACACAGTCAGAAGATCTACTTTGTGATATGTAATTTCACTTCACTTGACAAAACGGTGGAGCTATCGATGTCAAGTTTCATAAGAATAATGGCATTGTCTAGGGAGGATCCCACAGTCTCATAGACATCAGTTTTGTATTGCGCTGATGTGGACTCCTGGCAGATAAAGAAGGCACCGGAGCTGGAGAGAGTCTCATTAATGGAGATGCTGGTAGTGAGTTACAACTTCAGGTAAATAAAACCTACCTTCATATTATATAACATACTCCTTTTATTCCATATTAGATCATCATGGATCGTGGATATTTTTTGTCTTTCAAATCACCGCAGAACAGAAAACAACACAGATCTGTATTTTTATAGGCTTAACTTGTATAGACGTTTTATATATTATTCAATAAACATTCTGACTGTAATTTAGTCGGTTAATTATGGTTATATTTCTGTGTTTGTACTGACTTGGCCGACAGAGTAGAGACAGTGGGGGGGGGGAGGGGGCGGAATCAATCATCTTACTCAACCATTGACCTGTGTACACTAAATAAAGCTGTGTCACGTGACCTCTTTCAGGTAGTGTGCAATATAACAACAACTTTTACAGTTTCTGCTGGACACAGAATTAATCTGAAAGAAAGTAACCGTATCTTCAATTCAATTTCTATTACAATACAGTACAGACCGTACTTTCACTTGTAGAGGAGCATAACAAACATTGAGCCTGCACCGATCAAAAAGGACAATTCAAGTTCTAATGTGGTTTACTTCCATAGCTGCAACAGTGACAACATCTTTGTGGTTGCGGAAAATGAAATAGGTACATGGACCCATAGAGACTGCGTTCCTCCAGGGAGTACTACTGTAAACAAAATAAAGTCACCACAGTCATCTGTGGTTATAATTTGAATGCTCCACGTCCAAAGAACAGAAAGATTAACTACGGCACTTCAGTGTTCACTTCAGTGTTAGCAGCAATTCTATGGTTCTTATGTAAACCTTGCTGATCCAAGAGAGTGCAGTATAGAAATACAATGGGGTCGTGTTGCAGAGAGTAACATGGAGAGGTGGAATGATCATACAGGAATAGGCGTGCACAGCCTACTGCATTAGAGTGTGCACCCTAAAGCACAAACACACGCCGCATGTATGTATGTGTATATACACACACACACACATATATATATATATATATATATATTTATACACACACACACACACACACACATACACAAACACTGCTGTGTGTGTGCTGTGTGAGGGTGCTGTGTGTGTGTGTGTGTGTGTGAGGGTGCTGGTAGTGTGCTATGTGGGTGAGGGTGTTTGTGTGTGTGTGTGTGTGTTTGTGAGGGTGCTGTTTGTGTGCTGTGTGTGAGGGTGTTTGTTAGGGTCCTGTTATTGTGCTGTGTGACCCCAAGGTGCTGTTTGTGTGATGTGCTGTGTGTGTAAGGGTGCTGTTTGTGTGCTGTGTGTGAGGGTGTTGTGTGTTTGTAAGGGTGCTGTGTGTGTTTGTGAGGGTGCGGTTAGTGAACTGTGTGTGTGAGGATGCTGTATGTGTGCTGTGTGGGTGCTGTATGTTTGGAGGGATTGTGGAGTTGGGGCAGATTAGTAAATATCCCCCCTCCCTTCTTACCTTATGTAGGGAGGGGGGATTCTTGCTGCTATGTGCCATCCCTGGTGGTCCAGGGAAGAGTGAAATCTAGCCTGCGGGGCTAGAGTTCACTCTCGCGAGAGGTAATGTTCAGATCTCGCGAGAGTAACCTGGCGGGGCTGCTGTCTAGAGCTCCACGGGTCCCCTCCTGCCTCCCTCCATGCTGCTGTAGGCCGGTGAGGTAGATCTTTGATCTCCCCGCCGGCCCATGGAGGCTTAGAGCAGAACCGGCACTCAGGGGAGATCCGGAGGGGAGATTCACGTCCTGGGGAATAAAGTGTGGGAACTCTCCCAAGATTATATATATATATATATATATATATATATATATATATATATATACACACACATATATATATACACACACACACACACACACACACACACACATATATATATATATACATATATATATATATATATATATATATATATATATATATATATATATATATACACATATATATACATATATATATATACATATACACACACATACACACACACATATATATACATATACACACACACTGACACACATTTTTTTTTTTAAATTAAAAAAATGTCCACCCAGCCTCCCTACCAAGTTAAGTACTCGTGTATATTCCTACCACTGTGTTGGTTAGGTGCATTTGTATTTCTTGTGTTTGTATTTTTTTCTTTTTCTTTCAACATATTTGTACCCCCGATATTGTGTGCTACATATCTTTGTTCAAAAAATAGAGAATAGAGTCAGCGCTAATATATTGGAGAGAGATACAAGAGGCAGCAATCCCAAACAAGGACTCCCTCAAGTGACCTTGGGATAAATACAAAAGACAATCAAATAGAAGGATGGGACTGCGCCAATAGACAGAAATGAAAAGTCCTTATTAAAATATCTTTGTTCAGTATAAATTTATACATTTTGTCATCTCTGTAGATTGTACATTGTGTGATTATATGGCGACCGCTGGAAATTTTTTGTCCAGGGTTCAAAGAGCCAGATCACAAAAATTTGAAGCTTTATTTAATGATTGGGAAAAACCTGAGCCAATCAGAAAGTTAGAGGACTATTTTAAAACTAAAGAAAGATTGTTAATCAATGAGAATAAAAAATGGTGGGAGATAGCTTTCTTAGAAAATTATATTAAAGAGGGCCTTATACCGAGAGGTCTGAGTGTGGAAAAACCACCAACTTTTGGTATGGAGAATGATGTTTTCATGAAAAAATGGGATGAAATTTTAAACAATTCTTCTTTCCAGCTCATGGAACTCATCATTCAATATTCTAAAGAAATGAAAGCTAATCTTGAGGTACAACTACATGAATTAGATGAGAAACAATCACTAGATTTAGATAGTCCAGAGCTTATTCAACATGAGGAGGAATTAAATAACAAATTGAAAGAACTAGACGAAAAAATTGCAGAGACAAAGAGTAAAAAATATAGGAGAGATAAAGAAGATAAATACAATAATGTTTTTTCTACAGTCAATAAAATGTCACGCAGAAGACGATTTGCCAAAACACCTACTTATAATAGATTTGAAGTTCAGAAAACAATTAATAGGAATTTCACTGGTACTAATCAATATAAATTGAGATCAAAGGATGAAGATAGGGAAATATATAGAACACAGAGAATATCACAAATAAATAAGGTGTTGCCAAATGAAAGAAATTCACGTTCTTATAGGTCTCCCCTAGGGAGGAGAACTATTAGTGATAAAAAATCACCAAAAAGAAATGGAGATATAAATGATACCACTAATAGGAGATCCTATGCGGATGTAACTAGAGAGAAAACTTATTGTAGAGAGAGAACTCCTCTTTTAAGCAATGATAATTTTTTAGAGAGAAGTCAGACACAAAAAGAACAACGGATAACGGATTATTTTTTACCACGAAAAACATCTTGGGCACATCCAAACCGATATTCTCCACTTCGAACAAAAACTCCCCAAAAAAGAATGAGAATGGAGGAAGAACTCCAAACCATTCCAGGAGGGAGAGATCTTCCCGTTAAAAGAACGTAATGTAGGTATATTTAATTTATCACAGACACCATTAACTGAATTAGAAATAAGTGTACTAAAACGTGGTCTTAAATTTGCCCCTGCACGAACAGCGGATGAGTTCACTTTATTTATAGATTTAAAAAAATTTATAAGAACATTAACAGTTAAACGCCATTTCGCAAAGAATTCTTGTCCATCGTCAGTGATCAATACCCCTACGAATTTTGGAACCAATTATAATGTGTGTTCATCTAATCCTCCTATTGATTCCAGGGTTCATTTGGGTGTAGACAATGGCTTTACGAATTTTAAGCCAAAGTCTAAATTTTATCCTGTCCAAAGTAAAGGTTCTCATCTTGAAACTTTTGAAAATATGGTTTGTCAAGATTTCAGAAAGATTAGGAGCAATCAACAAAAGAATTATAATATGACAAAGGAGGAATCCATGTGTCTAAAAAATTTAATGGAAAGGGAAGATATAGTTATAAGGGAGGCCGACAAAGGGGGGGGGATTGTCATTTTATCTACAGAATATTACCATCAAGAATCCCTCAACATCCTAGGTCAAATAGAGACATATGTGGAACTTCCAAGAGATCCAACACAAATGTTTAATTCCCTATTAAAAAGTTTATTGTTGGGAGCCCTGGAGAATAATATAATATCTCAAAAAAAATTTCAATTTTTGTATAATACTTTTCCTGTCATTCCTATTTTTTATTTTTTACCAAAACTCCATAAGAATTTATTTTTTCCACCTGGACGCCCGATCATTAGTGGCATTAACTCCATTACAGCAAATCTCTCAGCCTTTATTGATTCAAGACTTCAGAAATATGCCCAGAGTGCCCCTTCATATATTCAAGATACCACAGCAATTCTACATGAATTTGAGGATATCGATTGGAAAGATGATTACAGTTGGGCAACATTGGATGTAACATCATTGTACACTGTGATCCATCACCAATTGGGTATCGAAGCAGTCCAATTTTTTATTAAAAATGATCCAGAGGTAGATGATGCTTTGCAAAATTTTATTTTAATGGCCATTAAATTTATACTTGAACATAATTATTTTTTTCATGAGGGTAAATTTTATTTACAACTAACAGGGAGCGCCATGGGAACCAGGTTCGCCCCCAGTTATGCCAACATCTACATGCGAAGATGGGAAGATCTTTTTGTGTGGTGCGGGCATGATTGGCGGGCGAGCCTGGTCCTATGGCGGAGATTTATTGATGACGTGATTGTTATCTGGAAAGGCACTCAAGAAGATTTTTTATCATTTGTACAATATCTTAATTTAAATCCCTTTAATTTAAAATTTACACCTGAGTGGCATAAAGATACCATAAATTTTTTAGATCTGAATTTATATTGGGAGCAGAATAAAATTAGATCTAGATGCTTTTTTAAAACAACAGACGGAAATAGTTATGTTCATAAGTCAAGTTGTCACCATCAACCTTGGCTGAGAGGTATTGCTAAAAGCCAGTTAACAAGGGTACGTAGGAACTGCTCCAATGTCCGAGATTTTGAAATTCAGGCAAAATATATAAAAAACAAATTGGTAAATAAAGGTTATGATAGCAATATGATTGAAAAGGAAATTAGAACACTCAAGAAATAAGATAGAAGGGAATTATTGACTAACCATCCAAAGAATGATTCAAATGATCATTTTAGATATTCATTTATAACAAAATACAATACTGACCATTGGAAAATCAATAAGTGCCTTAAGAAATATTGGCCTATATTATTACAGGATTCAGTCCTTTGTAATATTCTACCTGACTGTCCATCTATTATTTATAGGAAGGGTCAAAATCTAAAAGATTTAATTGCTCCAAGTTACCCTAGAAAGGATATACCCAGAAAAAAAGTTATCACCCACATGAAGGGATCCAAAGGATGTCAGATGTGTCGGGCTTGTTCAAGGATGAACTTAGGTTTAACTTTACAATTTACAAGTTACACCACCGGGATTTCTTTTCCAGTGAAATCTAGTATTGGTTGCCACACGGACTTTGTGGTTTATTTACTGCAGTGTCCGTGTGGCAAGCAGTACGTGGGAAAGACTAAGAGACCCTTGAAAGTACGTCTTATGGAACATATAAACAATATAAAGAAAGGTATGACTACTCATTCAGTGCCAGTTCACTGTAATACGTGCCAGGCCTTTAATTGGAGAGATTTCAAGGGCTGTGGTATAGAACATGTGTCCCCTCACTGGAGAGGAGGTAATAGGGAATTGAAATTAGCACAACGGGAGACCTATTGGATCTACCATTTGGACACTCTGTCACCTAAAGGTTTAAACATCGATGTGGACTTGGCTAGCTTTATGGTTTAAAGTTTTTATCACTTACAAAGTTGGGGATTTCCATCTTCTGCCTGTTTTATATTTAATTACATATATTTAATATATATTTTTCCAATTCATTTTTTATTATATTTACACTTTTTATTTATTCATTTATATATATATATTTTTTTTTATATATTTCATATTTATTATCATCATTTTTAATTTTATTTTTATTTTTATTTTTATTATCTATATTCATTATCATTTTTTTTTTAATTTTTATTAATTTTCATTTATTTTTCTATTTTTATTTTCATTTTTATTTATTTTTTTTTTTTTTTTTTTTTTTTTTATTTTACTTTATTATATATACATTTTTTTCATTTATTTATTTTATTTTATTTTATTTTATTCTTTATTGTTTTGTACACATTATTCACTTTTTTTCATTATTAATAGATTTCTATTAATATTTAGTTACTTTGTGGCAGAGGATTGAAGTCCTTTTTCAAATTTGATGTGGTCGAATTTGTATTATGAGAATGGTTATTTTGATGTTCAAATTATTCTAAGACTGCTCCTTTTAGTCTTCTTAGCAATTCAGAGGGCCGGTCGTTTGGAACGCATGGGCCCGATCTTGGAACACAACGTCAGTGGTTGTGACGTGCGTGGTTATTTCGCCACCGGAAATGCATGTGTGGAACGCAACCGGAAGTTGTGATTTGGAACGCAGAACATTACCGGACGGATTACCAGCTGGTCTTAGCCGCGAATTTTAAGGTGGCGATCACCTGGAAAATATTGATTTTATTGAAGAGGGACTGCCTACAAAGGAACTCTCCAATCAACAATCGGACTGGTTATATTTAAGGGACTCTGTTGGGGGTGGGATTATGCATGCTTTGTATTTGACATATTGTGTATACTGCAAAAAATTCTCTCTGATGAAGTCCAATTTGTATGGACGAAACGCGTTAGATGCAGTATTATTTGTATATTTTTAACTATTGATTTTTTGATATAGGCTTATTAGTGCCTTTAATAATAATAAAAAAAAGAATTTTTTATACTTCACTGGCATACTCCCACTTCTTTGAAGACAGAGCAACCTATTCGTGGAGGGTGAATACCACTGCAGCCCTTGAGGGCTTAAAGGCGCATTATCCATCACTATTTTGTGAGTGCAATCATTGAAGTTTATATTTTATCACTGTGACGGTACTTCACTATGTACTATGTATTCTTATGTTTTTTAGTCATTCAGCTGTATCCCTATTTTGTCCATTTACATATACATCCCTACCTGGAGAGCTGGTGTGGACCTGTCCCCGGGGTCCAGTGGGGCGGGCGCCTGTCTCCATATCAGACACAGTGAGAGAGCTGTGTCCTCTCTGCTCATGCTGGGAGCCGGAATATGACATCATATTAGGGCTCTCGGCACCAGCAAACGGCGCGCGGCAAGAGGGAGCAGAGAGGACACAGCTCTCTCGCCACGTCTGATATGGAGACAGGCGCCCGCCGGGGGTGGAGTCCGTAACCTCTTGGCCCCCCCCCAATGACAGGGGGAACACATTTGGCATTTGAGTGACTGCAGGAACAGCGGGAACGGTGTTCCTGCTCAAAAAAAGTGCAGGACTCAATCCATAGGCGGGTCGCGGGGATTAGGGTGTGCCCAGGCACAATAGGCACATCCCGTGCGCACGCCTATGCATACACGACAGTAAGTGCGTAACAGGAAAGTATAAGTGTGCATGTATTATTTACCATGGTTTACAGTGTCAGTTTCATCATGTTTATTGTAACAAAGAGAGTGCTGTACACATCTACGGTAATTAGTCTTGGGTGGCATCACTGGGAATTTCCCCAATGGGTGAGAGAATAATGACGGTCTGAAAAAGATGTGAATTGCCATTGCCTTCATGCCATCCCCATTGCTGGATTACACAGTGCAGAGCATGGTTAGAGTCAATGTTGCAATCACACAGTATGGAGAGCTCTGTACGATCTACAAATGTTGGGGGTTGGGTTAGGGATAGTTTAGGGGACTTCGAGTTAGAGAGGAATTTGGATTGGGGAAGAGTTCTCAAAGTACTGGTCCCCTAAATACTTTAATGTGGTCCATGGCCATCCATCCTAGTTTGAGTAGGACCGTATCGAAACAGAGAAGTATGGCGAAGTTCCAGGCATACCTTTTTATGAAAGATTGCAGATGGCTCGACCTACATGAGGCATATGATTAGGCTCTCATGTAATGTGTTAGAGCAGACCGACTGTTGGGGGAACCAGAAAGTATTTTTATTTTATTTATTTTTTTGTAGTTTTTTTTATTCTTTATTTTGAGACAAGCATTCAAAGAGACACATACGTTACAATGTCATGTAGGCTTGTTGAAAATTTTGCATAAATATACGTAAAACAATTCAGTGCCAAAAATAAATATTTTGCAAAGGTATGTCAAAGTGTAAAGTGGTGGCAGTTATTTTGAATGACAGTGCTAGTACGGCGGTCCCCCATGGGTGCTCAGAAAAGGAAGTCCTCCATGAGAAGTGGGGCGTCAGGAAATACATAGAGGTATCGCACGGTTGGGTTTGTGTTTTTAACAATATAGAAGCATAGATCAGTGAAAACAGTGTGCATGCACAAAAGGCAAAACACAGACATGCAATAAACCCTGAAGTAAAAATGGCTCCAGAGAAAGGTACAATACACCAGGCAAGACTTTACAAAAAAACAGGTTGCTCCTTAATAAAATCAAAGCTAACAAACAACAAAAAACTAGAATAAATGTAGGAGAGAAATTTCTTAAGGGATTTGACGAAGGAGTTAAACAACTAACAACCCTTGGCTAGGGTTTGTTCTATTGTTTTTCCTAAAGATAAAAGGTAGAATAAACATTGACACAATCAATAGTTTGCCTGTGCTACAGATAATATGGGGTGAAGGGCGGGTGGTTCAATTACCTGAATACAGAGCTGCATTAATGGACTCGCAGTCATGACTTAAGGGGGGCTGTCGCTCGGGGGTCTGGGGGACTCTGATAGATGATGACATTATCACAACTTGTTCAAGTTACAGTTAAAAACACTTAGAGATGGTTATTAACTGAATTGTTGGAAACGCAAATTTGATTAAAAGTGAATTTAAAATTCAAACCAGCTGTGTAATTTTGTTTTTTTGCCCTCTGGTTTGCGCGGGGACTGGTTTTAAGTACAGATTTCTAGATTCACGGCGATGACATCTTGAAATTTTTCCAGTACCTAGTTTCCTTATGCAGAACTGCAGAAAAAAAAAAAAATAATAATAATTTAGCGGGGGGGCTCGAGGGGAGACTAAGTAAAAAAAAAAAAATAGACCCAAATAGCTTAACTAGAAAACTTATCCAAACAGCTGTGTTCATCTAGTTCTGGCTTAGATTTGAAATTCACTTTCAGTTCCTCACAATTCTTAACTTTAGTTCCTCTCCATAGTTTTAAACTTCTAAAATAAAAAAAAATAAAAAAAACAGAACAACGTAAAAGCAGCATTCCCTGGTTCAAAAACAGGAAGATGTTACTGTATGGCTTTATTGTGTATCTAGTTATATGTAAAGAGACCAGTTTAGGGGCTCATACTGTCTCCAGTGCAATATCACAGAACCCACCACCACAGACCAGGGCACAATTTAAAACGGTTTGTTCCAATGTCTGTTCAGTTTGCAATTCAAACATGCCTAAGAATTAAATAAATAACTACAATAATAATAATAATAATAATAATAATGAAAATTCCCAGAAAGCAGGGATTGTATTTCATAAGATTTGAAGCGTCTCACGTTACAACTGTCCTTAAACATTTTCCGCCATGATTTGTAGGGCACGCAGAAACGTTTCTCGTGTTTAGTCATAGCTGGTAATAATTATAAAATACAGAGTAAGTGACACAGACTGAGTCACGTTATCTCCACCTTTAAATAAACAAATATATCACATCAGAGAATATAAAATAAGTCTGTGTCTTCGTTCAGCACTAGACTTGTCAAACGAGTTCCTGGGAAAATAACGACTTACAAATGCTGAGGGACTTAAACAATAAACACTGCTTAGCATAATTGGTTAACAGACCCACAATTATCAAAGGGTCCTCCTATTGTCCACAGCAAGTTGGACAGGACAGTGCTGACTCCAGTCCCTGCTTTTGTGAATTAAGTACTGGTGTACAAGAGCTGCAGGGGACAGCCCCAAGTTTGCACTCACAGTACTGCCTTGGCATGTCTTAATCCAACTATTTAAAAAGTCCTACTTTATACGTGTCAATGCTTTTGATCCACATGTTGAAGTAATTATATAAATGTCTCTACTCGCCCTATAATAACACAAGCCACCAAAAGAAAGCGCATTTTGATTGCACTCTTACCGAGAAATTATTAGACTTGGGCATGGCGAAAAATGTTGGATCTTCCCAATTGATTCGGTTCAGATTTACAAAAGATTCTCAAACTATAAATCAGTTCAAGGTTGGTGTTAAGTGGCAGAAGGCACCGCAAACCTAATCAACCTTTGTGAATGGTGTAGGTAAGAGTTCTATTTATTAATTTAAAATTAAAAACGTTAATTTAAAAAAATAAAATCATATATACACACACACACACACACACACACACACAAACACACATACATAGACACACACACACACATATACACACACACACATACATAGACAGACACACACACACACATTTTATATATTTTTGCAGAAGTCCATTAGGCAAAGGGACAGTTTAAGTACCATAACCACCACAGTTCTTTATGGTATCGATTTCATATTTTTGGATAACATTTTTAAATATTTTTTGTTTCAAAATGTTAAAATTATATCAATATATTAAAAATACTAAAATCATTTTCAAACTAATAAATCAATTGAAAAGCTTCTCCAAAATTATAAAAAAAAAAAAAATCAAAAAAAAAAAAAAAACAAGGGATATATTGATCACGGTGCAAATAATCCACATTTAGCATCTTCTGGTTTGTGTTAAACAGTTTGGGTGGTTAAACAAAAACGCAGGCTCTCAGCACCTACAGCCCAGTTCCTCTGCTGTGGGTTGGCTAATATTAAAGTGAACTTCACAACACGACAACAATGGTACGATATGAGTGTAAGTTAGACCATCACCATCAGCCAGCCACTGCTGCATGATATAGGTAAATTCATTTCACTTCCACACTAGCTGAGTGACAGCAGAGGGCCTGGGTGCAATTGTTGAGAAAACACGGATTTGTCAAACTGTTTAATAACGGTTTGACACAATCAAAAGGGGACCCACAATATATTTGCAACATAAATGCTACAATGAGCTGTAGTGCTTATGGTGATTAGTGTGTCTTAAAATGTAAAGTTCTTAAAAAAAAATAGTTCCTCTGATCTAGAACCAGTTTGATAGCGCAGTGGTAGGATTCTCGGACACATCACTGTTATCAACCACCTTTGGCACATGCCCATCTCCTAATCCTAACTAACAACGTGTGTATCTGCGTGTATATATACACGGCACACAGTGAGAAATGTACGAAAGAGTTTTTAAAAGTGATTAGCAGGTGCCATTATTAGAAATGACCCTGCATATGATATTAAACCCCATGTCAAGAACCTACCTCAATAAATAATTTGCAATCTTGTTTCTCTAGATCTGTATATTGGTTGCAATTTTGCTGAGCGAGTGAATAAAGCATTATATGCTGTATGTTACTGTCACAAGCACTCTGATATGGTGGCTAAGCAACAGGTTCTATTAAAGGAATCAAATGCTGACACTTTTCCCCACACCCAGAATATCCACGAGTTGAACACCTCAGTCAGAAATTATTGTTAAATTAAGCAGCACAAAGGCCAACTTTAACTCGGGCTCACATTACACACAATGCCGTGCGTGAACGATGCTGTCAGTTCCAGGATGGTACATCAATTTATTCAAGTGTGTATGAAATCACTATGAAATGAAAAACAAACAGACTATCTACTGACTCCAATACGATGAGTATCCTTCAATCAGAAAACATTATAGGATGTTTCAGGCAGCTTTTAAAGCGGCACAGCTACTTGCATAGTCTTTGTGTAGTTTGCAAATATCCCTTGAGATCAGTGGTGTTTTTTGGTTTTGTGCTGCCCTAGGCATGACAAAACCTGGGCGCACACCCTCACCCCATCAAAGTTCTCTTCCTGTCAGACACAGGATGCATGCACTGACAGATACAAAGTCATTGTCACAGACACCAACACACACATTTCTCTTAAACATACACATTCACAGACATACACACTCACATATTCACAATTATACTCTCTCACAGTTACTGACACACATTCACACTCACAGACAGACACACTCCCTGACAGATGCACACACAAACTCACACATACACAGTCACTGAGACATATATACACTCAGTGTCAAACACACATACACATTAACTGACAGACACACACTCAGTGACAGATACACACGCTCACTGACAAACACATACACACTCAGTGACAGACACAAACTCTCACTAACAGCCACAAACACTAATACTAGCAGACACTTTTTTTAAAAAAATGTTTACATTTCAATTGATCCAGCCTTTAGGAGTGCTGGAATGAATTCTTCCCGATGGTCCAGTGGGGCTTGCAATGAATGCAGGTATAGATGGGCAGGCAGTCACAGGCATGGGTGGTCATGCAGGCAGGCTCACACTGGAGGCCCTGAGGTAGCTCTGATCTTGCTGCTCAACTCACCCAGAACACTTTATTGAGATGACGTGGTCTGAGTGCCTATCGTGTTACTTTTAGACATGTGCACCAGTGAAATTTTCATTTCGTACGAATGATTTCAAACTAAATAAAAATTTCATTCGGCAATCCCAAATTTAGTTCGTAAACCATTCATTTTCGACTGAAATTCTTTACTAAAAAAAAAATAATTAGTATTTGTCCTTTAGGACGAAAATAACACTGCACATGCACAAACCCCCCTACCAAAAAAGCACTATCAGCTCCCTCCTTGTAATAATATTAATTCCTACTCCCCCTCCTCTGCATTAAACCCTATGAGGGTCACTATGACCCCCGTATTAAAAAAGGGAGGTTAAATCCTTCCACATGCCCCTACTCACAGCATGCCACAAGTAGGGGCATGTCGCCTAAACAGTGAGTAGCCAGTGGCCCCATGGTGGGGAACCCAAATAAATAAAATGGGGGGAGACAGTGCCCCCACCTGTGACCCAGAGGTGGGGGTTATTAATATAAACAGGGGGACCTAATGTCTCCCCCTGATCCCCACCCATGAGCCGCGGGTGAGGACCCAAATTAATTAAAGGGGGGAACCTAATGTCCCCCCTGGTCCGCATCCATGACCGGCTGGTGGGGACCACAAATTATAAAGTGACTAGGGGTCCCCAAGCCCCTAGTCACTCCCCCCAAATAAAAATACCCTACCTACCCCCCCCCCTCAGCCTAATAATAGTGAGGGGGAGCAATAAACTAACCGTGTAAAATAAAATTTCGTATTTACCATTAGCTGTCTTCTTTCTGCTTTTCCTTCTTCAGCCCCAAAAAAGGCCAGATAAAAATCCATAATACCCGTTGCAACTGTTCAAATAAAATAAAAAACTAGAGTGCAAAAAAAAAAAAAAAAATAAGCAGAAAAAATAAAATCCCACACTAAAAACAATCATCCTTCACCCAGCGAGGACACCGCAGAATGAGCTCCGCAGGGCAGGGAAAGCCTTCCCACGCCCTGCAATTAGGTTGTCCCAGACCGGGTGCCTCCGCCAATCGATGCTCCTAGTGCTCACCGAGTACTCCAAGCACTCCACCAGACACCATCAGCACTGTAGTCCCCACTTCCAGCGTAACAGCTTGGTTGGGGTCTCGCTGTCCTCCACCCACCCTGGACCCTAGACCAGGATCCAGCTTCCAGTGAGTAGACCTCTCCTCCAAGAGAGTGTAGCAATTTGCTCTTAAAAGAGCACGTTTTTATAATCCCGGGGGAGTATAGTGATATAGCAATCCCCAGGGTAGATATAGCAGTTTCCCCACACGAGATGAGACTATGTTGAGGGTAAGCAGGAACTCTTTTATTGGCAGCCACAACTGGCCTTATATGCAGGTCCCCCTGGACCTGAGACTAGACTACAGTAAAAACATACACACGATTACTCTGTCCAATTGGCATGTCACCTAAACTGGCCGCTCGCTGTTTAGGTGACATGCCCCTACTTATGACCCCCATAAGTTTGAATGCAGATGAGGGGGAGTAGGAATTAATATTATAACAAGGAGTGAGTTGGTAGCGCTGCCGACGCCCTCCTTGGGTTTTTTTGCGCGCGTACGCATTGTTATTTTTTCTGTGCTGTGGGGGTTAATTTCCCCTGCAACACACAGTCTACTAAACGAACTAAACAAAGCGAAAAGGTAATGCATTTGGTGTTTCGTTTATATTTCGTATGTAGGGCTTTCGGTTACGTTTTAGTAAACGAATATGGAAAAAAAAACAGAATTTTCAGACAAAATCATATTCGTACGAAAATGAACGCACGTCTAGTAACTTTAATGTGTGGTGGCAGAGTGGAGAAGCCAAGCTGAAGCTCTACTTGGATGATCCACCATCTTGTTGTGGGTTCTGTTTCAGCTCCTCTCAGTTCATCCATCAGGAGACCATGGCAAACCACCCACGTAGCTATGTAAGAGGGACAGTTACCTTGGGGGCCAAAATCCCTCTATCCTTTTTTCTGTGTATAACAGAGCTCAACAGCATTAATACTCCCAGATACAACTACAAAACTAAAAACCGTAAATAAGATACATTGCATTAGTTCTAAATTACATTTTAGTTGCATAAATTATTAGTAAGTCTCCTAAAGTTTCTCAGAACAGCCCCACCCCTGGTCATGCCACCAGTCAACCCCCCTCTTTGTCCATTTGAAATGTTAAGTGGTATGTCATGCCAATATTGTATGTTTCCGAGAATACAATACAGAGGACTATGGAAGTTCTTGCCAGACCACATGATAGGCACAGGGGACCTTCTTGCAATATAGCCGGTCTTCCTTCTGCTCATTATTTACTGATCAGAAGAAGCCATGTTTCTTCCTGCCTGTACAAGCACTTGTATGGAGAATGCACACTTATTGGTCACACTCTCAATTGATCCTTATCTCCATGAGTGGATATTTCAGAGCTTTTAGTGATCAAATATATTGCAAAATCCCCCTATACATTTTAATAATGATAGCAAACAGATACTTGCAACTTTTATACAGGTACAAATTTAAAAAAAAAAAACACACACAACATACAAATATACTGCTGCATCAGTTTTATGGACTGCAGCTGGCTCTAGAAGTAACGCCTCTGGTAGTATATAATTTGCGGACAAGCAGAGAGCTTTACCTGAAGCATGAGTTCGCACTCCTCACGGCCAACAAAGATCATCTCCCGAGGCAGCCGATGGCGAGTGCCAGTGCTGCTCACCAGGAACCACGAAGTGACGCTCATCTTGGTCTCTTGGCACAGCACCTACACCATAACCATCCTAAAAAAGGAAGGAAAAAAATGAAATGTTGCTTTAAAAATTATTTTACTTTAACATAGCTGTTCCTGTGCATCCATTTGTCTGGTTACAATTACATGTCTGGTAGTCCACCCATTGTATAGCACTACGGAATTTGCTGGCGCTATATAAATAACAAAATAATAATAATAATAATAATAATAATAATAATATCACAAGTACTATTCCTCAACATATCATCCAGATCAGAAGGCAAAAGTAGAACATTGTAACCGCTTCGTGAGAATGCTTTCTTAGAGACAGAGATCTATGGGATACTGCAAACACCATATCCTACATTGTCTGCTCTCTAGTTAATATTAACTCTGTTCACCATAACAATTTAATTGAAATTAAGTTATTATGAGATCCCTGTACCTTTAGAGGTTAAAGAAAGGTTTATTATTAATTTAAATTAAAGAAGCATTATGGGCACCATAACAACAGCATTGAAAGTCTCCTTCACAACACCAGATAACTCTGCCGCCTCCAACATCTACTTGCTAAGATGCATGAAAACAGAAGACTAGGACTGCCACAGGCAGGGGCACCGCAGATTGGCTTAGTGCGTCAGCTGATGCTCTCGACCAATCAGTGGCTCCCTATTCACAAAACAGCTTGAAAGTGTACATATTTTTCTCAGGTACTTATTATGAATAGGAAGCCTCTGTTTGAAAGTTCTATCTGACCACTCTAATCCAATCAGTGGTGACACTGCCCATGGCAGTCCGGTGCTACCGTTTTTAAGCTATACAGCAAGTAGACGATGGTGGGGCAGAGTGATTCAGCACTGGAGTGGAGAATTTTGATTAGGTTGTTATGGTGCCTGTACGTTTCTTTAATACTGATGGTCTAGTAAGGGAAAGGAACAGTGTACAAGGTGCACACTGCTTTCAAAAAAAATCCCACAACAGCAAAAGCTACTTTAATATTTAGTGGTTCTTCAAAAAAGCATTGTTTGTTTGTTTTTTTCCAAAACACCTAGTTAAAGCGATACTACAGTCACCCAGACCATTTCAGCTCAATGAAGTGGTCTGGGTGCCAGGTCCCCCAGATTTTAACCCTTCAGATGTAAACATAGCAGTTTCAGAGAAAATGCTATGTTTACATTGCAGGGTTAATCCAATCTCTAGTGGCTGTCTTCCTGACAGCTGCTAGAGGCGCTTCTGCGACGCTGGATGCGACAATCTCATCCAGCGTGCAGAACGTCCATAGGAAAGCATTGAGAAATGCTTTCCTATGGACTGTTTGAATGCGCGCGCGGCTCTTGCCGTGCATGCGCATTCTGCTCCACTCAGGAGCAGATGTCGGAGGGGGAGGAGAGGTCACCAGCGCAGAGGGAGCCCGGCACTGGATTAAGGTGGTTTTAACCCCTTCAGCGCCAAATGAGGGGGGCCCTGAGAGTGGGGTGGACCTAAGGGTTGTATAGTGGTGATCCTTTAACTAACCCCATTGGAAACAGCCATATTTGCATATTTGAAACAATACATATCCATCAGGATTGACAGCGTCACATTAGGGGTGCCATAGAGGTAGATCTCCCAGTTACTGCAAAACCCAAACGTTGCTTTACCAACTATAAGGCTGGCAAAGCATCATGGGCGATGTAGTTCTGAGATCGTCTTCGTAGTCATTTTAGAACATAAATATTCAACAAGGTAAAATATCCCATAAAATAAATTATACAAAAAAATTATTTACTCCAATGAATAACTAGAAAAGGATAACTGCTTAAATGTACATTTTAGATTTAGATCATTTTGTCCCTTTTTCGAGGCATTTGAGAGCAGGAGTGTAATACAAAGCTACACAGTAACAGAAGTCATAGCACATTGTCTATTAACTATAAAATGTAGTCTAGAAATTAGCTTGTGTAAATAAAATCTGACAAATTCATTTTTGAAATAAAAGGATATAGATATATATATATATATATATATATATATATACACACATACACACACACACACACACATATACGTATATATACACATATACACACACACACAATATTTCTATTAGGAGGTTATGACGGCAACAAAGTTGTTCTAGAATACCCTTTGCATCTATCACATCCACAAACCACACATACAGTTAGGAATGTTGGGTAATATATGTTCAGACTTTTTTATTTTATTTTTTAAATGTGGCAGTCATGGTGTTGGGAAAATTTTCTACCCTTGGTGACTCACAGTTCAAAGAGCTCAGAAAGTGTGCAGTGCAGTGGAAACAGTTGCAGAAGATGTTACTACTTCATTAAATAATATTAAACCCATACTAGAACCTATGACAATAATATGAACAATGTGTTTGAATACTTCACTTGTGTTTATAAAGAATTACTAGACTTGTGCATAAATCCTTTTCAGCTGGGATGAACCAATCAGATTCCTGTCCCTCTACGCCTGAACGAATCGATCTGTTCAGGATTTACGGGACGGATCAATTGGTTCAGGTGTAGATTAACAGGAATTTGATTTATTTGTTGCATGTAAAAAGGATTTGTACACAACTAATAATTACACTAACGAGTCTAATGAAGGTGTTGTGTAAAATGTATTTTACTATAGAATACAACTGAAGACACTGATCACTATGATTGATATTCACTAAAGTGAGAATTGCCAGAAAATCAAAGTGAATTTCACATTTAAAGGAATACTATAGAGCGAGGAAGACATACCATGCAAGCCACCGGCCACTCTCTGCCCCCCTTAAAAAGGTAGAAAAATATACTTTTATTCCTGCACTGCATGAGTCTGCCAGCGCTGGCTCTGCCTATGATCCACCTCCTTGATGATGATCATCAAAACTGATGACCTCTGCCAATCCAATGCTTTCCTATAGGAAAGGTGATGCAGGAGGTGGAGCCAAACACCACGCTGGCCAAATCAACAACTCTCCATAGCGATGTATTGAATCAGTGCATCTCTATGGGGAAAGTTCAGTGTCTCCATGCAGAGCTTGTAGAAGCTGTACATTGTGCAGTACTAACCCAGGAAGCATCTCAACTAGCCATCTGAGTGACTGCCACTGGAGGTGTCCCTAGGGAGCAATGTAAACACTGCCTTTTCAATGAAAAAGCTGTGTTTACATCAAAATGCCTGCAGGGACTGACTATACTCACTAGAACATCTACATTAAGCTGTAGTTGTTTTGGTGACTATAGTGTCCTTTTAAGACTAAAATAACCTAAACGAGAACAGAACTGACATTATCTAAATCAGCTACTAAGGCCTAAACTTTGTAATTCCGTTTGAATTCCGATAATTCTCACTTGAGGGAATAACTCCATAAGGAGTTTGCAGTTGTAGAATGGCCGCTGAGTTAAGGTCATGTATATCATTTTGGTCTCCGTCCATAAAGAAAAAAATACATACATACATACATACATACATACAAGGACGCGATGTTAGATTGTCATGATTGGACAAGCTGATATGTAAATTGATTAGCCTAGAGAGAGTATAAGTATAGTTTATACCAGAAAACAGGTTCAGACAATCAACTCACACTTTCAGAAAACGTAAAGCAAGAAGCACATATGTCTAAGATTATATCGGTTGACACTGTACACCTGAGCGTAATAAATTAAAGTTATCATATCCTCATTAAATTCACAGCATACCTACAGAAATTTAAAATGATGACAGATCCGCCCAATCAGAACATCCCCTATTTGTGTCTCACCTGTTGGGTGATCACGCCAGTTAAAGAATAGAATTTTAAAAGGTGCTGTGTGATCTAGGTCAATATTTATAGGACAACTGTCATCTCTATTTTAATATTATAGTGATCCTTTAAGAAAATTCTGAAAGGAAATAGACTGTGTTAAAGTAAGTCTTTATAAAAAATCTTCAGCCATAGACAGACATACACCTTGGACCAGACACAGTTTAAAAACCTCTATAATAAGCTCTCCAATCACTCAGCTATCAGCATTGACCTCTATGCTGTCAGATTTGAGTTCTGTGCCAAGAATTGTTCACATGTAGGAGAGGGAGCACATTTTGGTGGGTGTAAATAGTTTTACGGCAACAAAGAAATACAAATGTATAGATATGATACTATTTCTTCTAGCAGAATAGAATGAATAAGATTTTTATGATTTATTATTACATTGTGTGTACCATGACAGGTATACTTTAAATAGAAGCGACACTATCTCCCTCTAGCTTCACAAAGTAGGTGGATGGATGAGAGACACCATTGTGCATGTTGCATATAATGATATGTTATATTTTACAAGTATATTGAATGATATCCCAGGAATGACTTTATTATCAACGTTCAACAACTGCATTACCATTTATTTATTTATTTTTCAAAGAACGATATAAGTAACATTTGTTTGAAGCCGGGATAAAGATCATGATACATAGACAAAACATAAACGACGTGTTAGAATATCTAAGAAACAACATAATGTCAACTTTCAGGATTCATTTTCATGGGTTATTTTTTGCACAAGTATGGGGAGGGTGTAATAAGGTATAAGATATAAAGCAGTGTCGCATAAATGGTCATATAATCTACTGACGGGTGTTCTTAATGTTGGTGGTAGTCTGATGACTGCTCCAATATACTATCAGAAAGTAAACATACTGACTGCATATTTTGGGGGCTAAAACGAGGCACCTGTATTTCAAAGGGCTCTGAATTATATAATTTTGCAAATATAAACCTTTACATGCACCCGGAACTCTGCCTTACAATGCCTTCTCTCTGAGCTGCAATTCAGCATCATTTTACAGATAGACTGAGCTGCGGCTGGTGACATCATTTACAGTTCAGTGACTCAGACCCAGTGGGGAAACCGGTTTCACTGCCAGGTGAAGAGCAGAGTGGAATCAAATCGGAAGGTAACATAAGCATTACATTTTGCAATGCAAAGTAAGAAGAAAAATCTATTTATTGACGATTTCATCATGAATAAATTGTGTGCGTGAATGCCTGACACATCTTACAGCCACCACTAGCCCATGACTGTGTACTTTGTATTTACCGAGCGATATACAAAACACAGAACTACAAGTGAACATAATTTCTGAAAAGCACAGAAAGAGCTTCCATGCAAATTTACTCACATTTCTCACGCACCTATACTACAGAGGTACGGTTACTTTTTCCTACAGGAAATATCTTTTTTTTTTTAACTCATTTAGAAAGCTGTGGAATTTTAACTGGGATTCACATAATCAGAAGATATACACCGAAGACACATCTGGTCAATGCACAGGAGCGATATCATCTGTGGAGGTCCACCACTCCAGCAGGATCTTCCATTAAAACCAGTTTGTGTATTGTCTGCTTTTACGTATTGGGTTCAAACATTACTCCAGTCTCACATCTTCTTTAAAAAAAAATTGTGAAACACAATGAATAATATATACCGCAGTGCATGGTATATACCATCCAGCCAGCTGTGTTATATTCAGGTGTCAATTCTGGATGTCAATGTGTCGGTCCTAAATCGCACACAGTGACAACAAACAAGAAAAACAGAAATCCATGAAAGGTCCTCGGCATCTTCTATGGGAATAATGTTTAAACCCTTCACACACACAAGAATACACAGCAGCGCACTTTGCATAGCGGCACAAATTATTAAGATATCATTAGTATACAAGTATGATTGGCATACAACAGCAGTTTTAGTATAAAATCCATTAGGTGTCAAGTGTGTGGGGTTATATTATTTTATTGTTCTAAGTAGGATTTAAAAGGGTTAACGATATGATTGGCTAAGACCCAAGACGAAGGGATCCTAACAGTCATTAAACAAAGGATTTTAATATCTGACTTTGGATCCTATGAGAAATTGTATCTACGTACATCTATGAAACAGTACAGATTTTATTTCAGACACTGAATTTAGTTCCAAGTATAACAGGCCTTCCTCAACCATTTTGGAATCTGCAGCTAACAAGCAAAGGATAAACAGCTCCCAACCTTCCTAACAACCACAAGGCAGAAAATGGCATTGAGGATTCCTGCATCACATGCTACAACAGCAACTCTGCTGAAAGGTGTTCAGACCTTGATAACTAACAGCGGGCAAGATATCAGCCTTCAATGTGAACCTCTTACTGGCTAAAACTAAGAAGAAAACAAAAACAGAAAAAAATATTTTATTAGAAGCAGAACTGTAACTTTTGGGTTCTTCATAAAAACAGAAACTTTATGGAACTCTTACACAAAATTACTCAATTGTGAGATGTCTGGAAGAGAATATAAAAATTATAGGCCAAAGTAGCCATTTGAAGATCGAGCTGAACTTTCACAATTTGCTTCGAATTCCTGCCAATTCATGCTTTATAATAACCTTGAAAGACTGTTTAATAAAAAACATTTTTACATTCCAGGCAATCAATAAAATATCACTAAAAGATACAGGAACCAGGTTCCACCAAAACAAAGCAATAAAATAGTGCAAAAATTAAAAGATATCATGCAATCAGAGATAAAATATATAGTCCAAATCTGTTTCTAATGGCCCAAGTTCTTATTTAGTTGGATCCGTCCTGATAATGTGTATATGGAAGAAAAGAGAAAAAGGGATACTAATAGTGTAGTATGAACAGCGTGAGTGGATAATAAACAACAAAAGTATGTAAGCACTCACTCACATGTTATAGAGCCATCATACAAGCTCTGATAGTGACAACATGTAGTGGTGCATGCATTCCCCACTAATGGATATGGATACATCTATAATATATATCTATATCTATCTAAAGACAAAATAACATCCTATAGTGTAATATTGCAAACACAAAGGGACTGAAGTGCCAAAGGGGAAAAAAAAGGAAATGCACTAACAAGTGTAGAGCTTTTATTAACACTAAAATGTGCAGGTATGAGTGGTACCATCCCCACCTAGGAATATAGCTGGGTCACAACTTTTTCAACAGCGGTCATATATATGGGAGAAAGAAAAGGTATATAGTGCGGTCTATATAAAAAGTACAAAGGAAGTTGGATGAAAACATACTTACATTTTTTGGGCAGCGAGTACTGAATGTAATAAGATATGTCACCTTTGTAGGAAACAATTTAATGACCCTTAACTCTTTCTCCACGTAGAATTGCTGGACCACAACATTTTAATAGTGGGAAATTTGATCATATTCTTCAGTAAATCATCAAGTTTCTAAATGTCTTGCCACGAGAAACCAGCAGGGCCTAGCATTTACTCTTAATCAAAAACGCACATGAACACATTTTTCATTACCATTTCCACGTAAATGCAGATATTTGTATAGATGTGTGCCAATAGAAAGATGTACTGTGTATACATGGTATGTGTCCATGAATGGAGGGGTGTACGTGTAAAGAGGGTGAGACTACATGCAAATGGAGGCTAGTATCTTTGCATAGTGTAAGCGCTTCAGTGAGCTGAAAATCACAGTGTGAATGGAGGGGACAATATGTGTGCAAATGAATGAACTGAAAATTGTATTTGTGTTAAGATTGTGTGGGAAAACCAGAGTTTAATTCTTGAGTAACAACGTGGAGTGTATTAGTTAAAAATATTATTTGGCCAAAAGTCGTCATCACTACATAGAAAACCAAGATGGATCTGTGCCGACTAGAACTTGTCCATGCACAGCCATATCTGCTCACAGGAGTTCTGGTCCTACATCCACCAGCTTCCCAGCCACCCATGACTGCTGGTTACATGCAGCTGTATGCTCAAAGCAGGTTTAAAACATCTGCTAAGGGTGAGTGCAAAGCACGTGATTCAAATCACTTCTCCATTCATTAATTATCCTCTGCTAATCTTAATAAGCTATCATAATACCTAAAAAATACCTAATGCACAAAATGACAGTAGAGGATAACATCAGTTAAACATTTGTGGCGAGCTGACAGCAGACTCCCTATCTGAAGGCCACAGCAGATAGGTCAGTGAATTAATCAATCCAATTCAACTATCAATGTGGAAGTAGGTTTGTAGATTCACCATAAATTTGTGTTTAAATGATTACAGCGGAAAAGCTACAAACTGCCAAGCAGTGACACGCTTCGCACATGGCCATTTATGCTCAAACATTTTGTTTTGGACACAAACACGGTTCGGTAAAAATGTATAAACACATCATTTACAGGCAAGCGTGAGCAGACAGGCAAACAGAAACATGCTTTCTTGGCAGATCGATGTATCGTGTGCTTCCCCGGAGAGTGGGTGGAAGATACAAGACCGTGCTTGGGGACAGGATTCCTCTCACCAGCTGCCATACAGACAAATCAGAGCGGCTTGTCCCCCAGTCTGAACCAAAAGCACAGGCCCTTGCAGTGACCAAGCCCAGCCAGCATCTCATCTTTTATTCAATGCGACAAGACAATGTATCGAGAGCAAGGATGATGCCACAAGACTCAAGTGTCATTTCCAACGTATCGATTCAAAAAAAGGGAAATGTGTGGAATAATAGCTGCTTTATTCTATCCCTTGAAAAAAAAAAAAAAAAACAGATCCACTCCCCTTCCCCGCTTTAAAATCTACCCTTGTCACAATGTGTAGATCATTAATCCTTCTGCTGCTGAAGAAGAAGAGAAAAAAAACACATACACAGGGAGGGACTGGAAATGCTGATTCCTAGGCCTACAGCCTATACCATAATTAAAGGGTTAACATTTGCACAATCCACCCCTCCCAGCCACTCACTCTCTCTCTCTCCTCCTTCAAGCTTGAGCCAAATGAATGTGTATCTCACTCTCACACACACACACACACACACACACACACAGCAAGGAGAGCATTGCGGTGTATTCCAACCTTATCCAGCAGCTAAGGAGTTAAAGGATTGCACACAACTAGATGCGTGGCAGTCGTCTAATAGTTTTAGTCCCTGTTCCATCAGAGCTATGGTACTGACACAGCTCACAGGCCAAGGAATGGGAGATCAGCTGTTTCCTGTCCTTAGGGTAATAACCCACTCTGTTCCCACCTACCTGTCCTGTGGTCCCTCCGTCTGCACAGCCTCAGCCTACAATCCCACAGGGACTACAGGCCATGGGAAGCCTAGCCTGCCTTGTGCCTTGTTCTGGGGTGGTTTTGGTCTGAAGGTGATCTGAGCAGGTAGTAATATAAAAGGAGCCACACACCCTCCTCTCCTCTGCTGTTTGCTATGACATCCTCCGCCTGCACTTGCAATACAGGTTGATGACATCACCAGCCAAACCACCCTCCCCCTCTAGCAGAAAATCCAGGATAGGTGACATTCTTGTCAAGAATGGAGAGTCAAGGCGCCATCTGCTGGCCTTGTCTCACAGTGCAGCTTGTCTCTTGTCTCATTTGGATTTGTTAACTATAGTAAAAACATGCAGTTTGTATTAAAAAAAAAATATATATATATATCTACCATGCTTTGTTCAAAAACTAAAACATTTTAAATTTTTTAAGTACGTAATGGGAAAAGTCAATCACCAAGGAAATGGAAGGAAAGGGAAAAACCTCTGGGGATTTATTTACTAAATAGAGAGTTCTGGGAAATGGCAACGTAAAACGTACTTAAATAAGCAGAAATGGTGATTTTCCAAAAGGGCTATTTTAGCAGGTTACTTGTCAATTTAGATATTAAGTTTAAAGTGAACTTGTCATGACTTTATGCAATTCATATCATTGTGATAGACCGTATATTGTATCACATAAGAAGAGGTTTTAATTAAATACTTGCATCCTCTCTTCAGTGCAGACAGTAATGCTATCATGCAGGGTTTGGCTGTACTGTGCTAATGTAAAAATCAATCCTCATACTCCCATCTATGTCTCATCACCAACCTACCCAACTGGTCATGCTTGGGAACACTTTCTAAAACAAGGTGCACGTCTCTCATGGTGCCAACAGTAAGTGGCAAGTGAATAGTGTGACATCAGTCACTCAGGTCCGATGTTATTCTAGCACAGCACCAAAGAGGCTCATCAATGCATGCGCTATAACTGCTGTGATGAGGCAACAGGAGAACCCCCAACATGCAGATCTGTCCTCTGTCACTCATTTCTGAGAACAGAGGGCTGATTGACATGTGAGCACGATTAGACTTGCGCACATTAACAATAAAGAGAAATAGATAGATAGACAGATAGACAGAGTCCCTACTAGACTTGTGCAAAAATTTATTTTGGCCTGTTCGTCCAAATAAAATGCTTTTAATCCACCCCAGAATCGATTCGCTCGTGGTTTGCCTGCAGAATCTTACTCATTTAATTATGTGTGGAGTTTTATTGACTGAAGACGACTCTGCAGGTAAATGCTGGACAAATTTATTCATTCAAGTGTGAATTAAAATTATTTTGAGTTAGACAAACCAGGCAAAATATATTTTTGCACAAGTCTAATAGGAACTAAATAGATTTATATTTATGTTAATAAATGCATACATTTACTTGCAGTTCTGCTAGCAAAATATATAGATTGCATTGCTTTTTAATTTATTATAAAAGTGTTTATACAATGAGCCATTTTTTAGTTTGTAATTTATTTCAAAATAAATTATAGAAAAACCTCTTTCATTAGATTTTTCCTCATATCTTAAAAGTTCTTTAATGCACTGGGGAAATCAACTTATTCATTCGATGTGTTTGTTCCAACAACTAGCAAACAAGTAAAAAACAAACTGGATGAGGACATAATTTTTGCTTCTTGATCAAGGGTTTAAAAATTTGCCGCTTTAAAAAGGACTCTGTGGGCATTGGCTGAACGAACGAGCAAACGAGTGTGTGTGTGTAAAGTTTAAATAGCACAATGCTGCCTATATTATACTCCTCTATCCTTTCACCTATAAATGTTTACTACCATAAACTATAAAATCATTTTGTGCTGTATGGTTCCGGTGTTAATATGGTAACAGGTTACCTTTACAACAGCAATAGCTGACCTTTGGCACTCCAAATGGTTGTGGGCCATCTGGATGGGTTGAATATCAAAGTAAACATGTCAGATCAGCTGTAGTGTCAAAAGTCAACATGGCTTTTAAATTGCACTTGTCACAAATAACATGACGTGACAACAAATTAACGAGCATTTTTCCTCAAGTTTGCTATCAAATTTATAAATTGATTTTTTTTCATTATTCTGACCTATCACTGCTGTAGTAAAGATTACCAATATGGCAGCACCTCGTGGCAGGAATTGAGGGTTGGGAACATAATTTGGTGATGGGACGGCTGCGCATGTAGCTGTTCCATCCAGCCTAGGCCACAATGCTGTGCGTAAAGGAAGCATATGTTGGGTAAGTAAATCTACACTTAATGGGAATTCCACCAATTCCTAATATAGACCATAAGTACACCTACCTGAAGGTCAACTTGGCACTCACACCATCTGTGAATGATAGGTTTCAAAATATGTACATGGTATGGAGAACCACTGAATATTTGTGCAGTGTTGCTATGAAAGCGCATGGTTTTACTCCCTTTCGAAACAAACACATTTAAAAATAAAAGTAAAACATAACAGATTAAAAATAAAATATATAGAAATGGAAATTTATCAGTGACTAGTCGAATGCATATATGACAATTCGGAGATATTTGTTATGTGAAACGTTTGACCGATAAGAGCAAAATTCAGCTTTCTTGGCTACCAGTTTGAAAGAACACAACGAAGGAAAAAATAAATAAAATGAAAACATTTAATAGCCATTAAAGTATGGAAGATAATGTGTCACTTCCTATACATCCGAAGCAGAATATCATATCAAAGTAAGGTAAAAAACAAAACAAAAAAAAAATAAAATAAAACACAACAGTAAATGTCGACCAGTGAACAAGACCAGTGCTTTTCCCATGAAACGGATATGATTTCCTTTGAGGTGGTCCTATATAACTCTTTAACCAGGAAAGAGCCTCAGATTCACTCATCCCCTCAATAAATGTGCATCAAGTAGGGAGTGAAATGTACATTTTGTGGATCCTATTGAGACCTAATAACCAGGAGAAGAACCACTAGGGCCACAGGTGTTTCAAAAGTAAAGTAAGAGAACAGGTGGGCTGGGGGAGTATTAGTCTAAAAAGTGGATGTGTCTCTGTATGAGTATGTGGGTAGGTGTGTCCATAGATACAAACATACTGATGAATTTTGCTTTTATGTGTGTGGAAGTGGCTAGCAAAGTGTATGCAGGAATATGTGGCTTGTGTGACGAGTGTATGAGAGAGGCTGATCTGGTAGGTTTGGAAGTGTAGTTAATCAGGTGAATGTCATGGAGACTAAGATAAGGTGTTTGTGGGAATGTGGAGTTGTGTGCATGCACGTATCGATAATACAAACTTTGCTTGGCTCTTAGTTATTTTTGCCCTGGCTTCTGCGGAATCTGCCCATTAAACAGCAATAAGGCATATGCTGGCGCTTAACACATTAATTAAGAAATAGCAGCTGGAGGAGAGGATTCTTCTGGAAAACCTTGTTCCACGGGAAACATCAGTTCCAGCTGAAACCAAATGGGGTTCAAAGAGAGGTTAATATGATCAGGAATTTGCTATTTTAGTTTGAAAAGGATTCTATTTATATGCAAATTAAGGTTAAGTTCGGCTATCTTTTACGTACAGTACTTTATTTGTGCTTTCACATCTTCCTTGGGGTATAAAGAAAGATGCGCAGATGGAAAGAATAGAAAAAAAATATATACTTTCCCTTTGTTTCCACAAGTTAGTTCTATTACTAAATGAGCATCCCAGGTATCTGAAAGTATGTGATAAGAAGTTCCAGACTACATGTCCCATGATACTTTGCCAGCATTATAGCTATAAGAGCATTGTGGTAGATGTAGTCCAAAACATATGGAGTGCCGAAAGTTGTCCATCCCTGAACAAATGTCCAGGCTCCTCTAATTCACTATGCCATCTCCTTCTTCAATGAAATACTCAATATTAGTTAAACCAAGGAAAAATATATCACGATAATTTGGGCAAAAAGTTGTGATGAGTTGTGGTGCAAAGTTACATTATTACTAATAAAATTGAGATGATCTATATTACATAAGACCTGCACTTTGCACCACACTTGTGTAAGTGCCTGGGGCTCTTTTTAGAAAACTCACACTAATAATGACGTTAGGTAAATCACACACCGGTCAAAGTTTAGTTCATAGATAAAAAGTAACATTACTTCTTCACAGTTCGATGAACTCATTATCAGTCATGAACAGTTATGAGTTTGAGAGATTTCATTCTTAAGTTCTACTTACAAAGATGGAAAAGAAGTATAAACAGGGCCACTGGCGTACTAAGAGGGGGCGGGGGGGGCGGTCCGCCCCGGGTGCCAGCAGGGTGGGGGGTGCCATGACCAGCCCCGCCGGCCCCCCCATGCTGCAGCCGCCCGAGCGCTCTGTAGAGAGCCTCAGGCGGCTGCAGCTTTGCCCGGGCGGTGCGTCCATGAGGGCGGACCGCACTGCCCGGGCGCAGCCTGAGAAAGGGGGCTCCCTCTGTAGTAGCGTGGCCGAGCCCTGTATCATGGTCCGCGGGTACAGAGAGCAGCTGTCTCCTGTACCCGGCCGGACTAACAGGAAGTGCACACTGAGTGTGCACTTCCTGTTAGTCCGGCCAGGTAGAGGAAACAAAAGCTCCCTGTACCCGTGGACTATACAGGGCTCGGCCACGCTACAGCAAAGGGGGGTGAGAAAAGAAGAGAAAGGGGGGGTGAGAAGGAGGAGAAAGAGAAAGGAGGGGGGTGAGAAAGAGAGGAGAAAGGGGGGTGAGAGAAAAAGGAGAAAGGGGGGGGTGAGAAAAGGAGAAAGGGGGGTGAGAAAAAGGAGAAAGGGGGTGAGAAAGAGAAAGGTAGGAGAAAGGAGAGGGGGGTGAGAAAGAGAAAGGAGAGGGGGGGTGAGAAAGAGAAAGGAGAGGGGGGTGAGAAAGAGATAGGAGAGGGGGGGTGAGAAAGAGAAAGGAGGGGGGTGAGAAAGATTCATATGAACACTATAGTGTTATAGTGTCCCTGTCCGTAGATCTAAACAGTCCCCCCGACCTATTTTAAAAAAGTTAAATAAAAAAAGGTTTTCAAGCTCTGAGGCTTCCTCTGCACTTCTGATCTCTCCACCTCCCGCGACAAAATGGAGACAGCACTGTTGGGTTAAAAGGACAGAACTACTGCACCCAGACCACTTCATTGAGATGA